TTACCTCAATACATTTTTTTTCTGATCTCAGAAATCAGTGACTACTTTAAAAGCACTTTCACATTAGTTATTAACTCATAGTGCGATGATGTTTTTTGTATTTTAACTCGTGCATGCTAACTGATGTAAAAATTTACCTCAGTGGCCGTCAAAAGGCAAAAATCATCAGTCCACGTACCCCGGCCTGCTTCCAAGAACAAACCTCTGATGACTCTGTGACAGCTCGTTTTATTTTACATAAATTAATTATTTTCAGAAATATTATGTAAAAAATGCATTCCTTACTAAGTTCATGTCCGTTTTTTAAATAAGGGGCGGCAGCAGCACCATCTGCATGACCTAATTGTGCATCACCAAAGCTAAAATGCATGGCTGTCATACAATACATATATTTATATATAGATAGAGAAATAGATCACCGGCTGTGGTGTTTATATAAGAGAATGACAAGAATGCAGAGGAGATAGCTGACTGCTGCCACACAAGTTAAAATTGCATTCCATTTTTCACCGAGCAGATTTATCCATGGTTTATGGAAATGATAAGCTTTGCTGAGAGATGTCTTTGAAAATCAGATTGCGTGGCCGGAGTTATCTGTTGTATAATTCATTATGATCCTGGCAGATGATATAATAAGAGAATTCATCAATCGCTGGAGGAAATGACTCGGAGACTGTTTCAACATCTGCAAAGACCGTCCCTCTCCGCTGTCACGGTGAAATAACGCAAATGACTCAACGTGCAGCCTCAATTAATAAAATATGCACCATCTGCAATTTGAGGCACACGTACTTTATGTGACATGCAAAGAATCTCATAGAAATAAACCAGTGGGTCATGCTGTTTCTATAAGAGCCTTCCAACAGGGATACGACAATGTTCTTCTGCAGAGACTCAAAACCGCAGCAGATTTTGGACTCAAGATAAATTCATACCACTCAAGCTATTTTACCATTATAGTGCAATGGAAAACTAAATCAAACTTATGTACAAACATCGAGCTGTCAGTTTTTTACCTCCGAGTGCTCAGTGTTACGACGCCCAAATCTGGACCTTGACTTCAACACGACGTTCCCTCAGTAACCAACAGGGATACGATACAGGCCGGTGTATCTTAAAGACCACGCTGATGCCTAATCTAAACTGTGCACCCAGTGCAGCTTCAGCAATCCAAGTAACTGGATTCTAGCTGAGTTTACAGAAAGCTGATGCCGGACGACTCAGCCATCCCTCAAGAGAAGATATCCTCTTTGCCCAGTTCTGGTGAAGCAGGTCTGGAAATGTCAAAAAGATGCTGCGGAGAGCCAGCCCTCGACTGCCTCGCTTTGAGGAGCTGAAGTGCTTCTGTTAGTTGCACCTCCAGGCCGGACATTCGAACATTCAGGTTCATGAGGTCGTCCTTCAGCTCCAGCTTGAGCTCCTGAAGTGAGGCCTGAAGCGTCTGTTCTTGGATGGGATAGAAGGTGTGCCTGGTCTCCGGAGGCTGGACAGGACTGCGGTCCTGAGGCGTCATGCGGAACTCGCCCACTTTGTCCAGACGCAGGTCACTTTTGGTGATACCGCTGTCACATGAGTCTGTCTTTTTTAGAGACGTCTGTGATTCATGCACTTTTGTCCGTTCGGGTAAAACCTCCATGGATTCGGCTTTAGACACTTTGTTCCAGTTGTCTGCTTTGGCCATGGACTCCTTGAAACGACCCCAGCCTTTAGCTTTTACTGGTTCGGCAGGCCGGCCTCCAACCAGAGAAATGGGAGACGGCACCTGTAGCTTTGCCTTGTCTGACGGAGTACATTTGGAGGCTGTTGAAGATGAAGGCGTTGAAGATGAGGGTGTTGCTGGGCTCTCTGTTACTGTGACGATGCTGCTAGTTGGAATGGCTGATTTCGCCAGCGGGACGTCCACATACATGGGGCCCTTTTCGATATCATGATCATCTAGTGGTTTCTCTGTCGCCATTCGGGCCTCCTTCTGCTGTCGAAAGCGCTGAAAGAGTTTTCGTACCGGGTGATCCGGTGGCAGGTTCAGAGGGGCTTCATTTTTACGCCTCTGTCGCTCCTCTTCCTCACGTTTCACATCACTGATCTTTCGGAAGACGATCTACAAGACAATTTAAAGTTCTGATGAGCATGAGTTGGACAACATGCAAACGAAATCATGCTGAAATACTGAACGTGACACGTGTGAGTCACGCTGCGATTATAAAGCCGAAACGTTAGTGGCGGTGCAGCTTCTATGCTACTGTGTTGAGTGTCTTTCGGTTTCTGGTCCGTTCCTTCAACTCAATTAAAAAATGGCGCAGACTCTGCCAGAAATTCTTTGGGGAGGTGCACGTCTACGCGTAGGCTATGGCTTAGCTTCGATGCAGAAACATGGATTGGGCTTTAGAGTATAAAACCAGATCAAGATCATCTTCAGTTATTCTACATCAACACCTGATGTTTAAACATGTTTTCGGTGATAGGATTGTGTACCCAAGATGCAATGAGGACAGTTTCTGATCTGATAGGCCAAACATCCTCCAGATATGAGAATGTGTTGTCAAGTGCATAGGAGGAAATAACAATCGCATTCAATGAGGTAGCAGCAGCTAGTCCCCCCCCCCCGCCTCACTGTTCAAGACACCTGTGAATAGAGTGAAGTCAACACCAATCAAAACGCAGGTAAAAACAAAATGTGCTTGGATACGAAATTGGATACGAAACACATTTGAATGTCAGGTGTAAATGGATTCATAGAGAACTGGTGTGTCTGTCTCACTGTGCAGACAATGTCTCAGAATGTGTGTGGTTTGTAAATGTCACCTTAATGAGCTTATTCCCACAACAGGGAAAGTTCATATCATGCCTGTGGCTTCAGAGGGTGAAGACACAGTGTTCCTTCACCACACAGCTGCTAATGGACAACTGTGCTCACGAGCTGCTCTGTTTTAGTCTTCCTTCTGCACGCTGATGTATGTAAGCAGAAGTGTTTCCAGATGTATGATAATTATCTCAATATATCAAATGATTAACTCTCTGTACGATGTGCGATCAATAATCTGGATATGGTCAAATATGGATCTGTATTTATGCGACGTCTTTTTTGCAGATCATGCTTGTGATGATGAACGTGACCATCACATTGCGATGCCGTGACGATTGAAAAGGTTTGTTTCTGGACACTAAATTGCTAAGGAATCCCGACACAGCTTCTAAATGTCGGTATTGAGCGTCCCATCCCAACTCTGGTCACATATGATAATCTTAAGCTTCTGGTACGATTTCCCATCTTGTCAATGAAGTAGTTGCAGTATAGATATACAGCATCTATAATAATAACCGCTCTACTTCTCGGAAAGGGGGCAATTAAGCGTATTTCCCTAAATGTCAAACTCTTTCTCTGACTGAGAAAGGAAGCATTCAAAAGTATTTGTCTCTTAAAAATCACTCTGTCTGGAAAAAGGAGCACAGGTTAAAAATGGAGTATCTAGTATCTGAACAACCAGTGATAACTTTTATTGTTTATTTTATGACTACTTTTTGTCATCTGCTCTTTTCTTGTTCACGGGTACGATGCTGAAAAGCAATACACATAAAATCGTTCATCATAAAAGGTAAGAGATCCCGTTTTTCTTCTCACAGCTCCACTCTTCTCTCAACTCAAACCACTTGAATGCTGAACATATTGTGCTTTGCTGCTTTTCTTTCTCAACTTCAAAACACAACCTCACCAGCTTGATGTCTGAACGCAGCGTTTGGCTCCTTGTTCAGCGAAATACTTTTGTCCATTTTTGTCCATGAGAAGATGATCAGTGGTGGAAGAAGTACCAGGAAGTACTGATACTAAAACGTAAAAATGCTCAACTCCATGTGAAAGTATTGCCTTCAAAATCCTACTCATATAAAAGTGAAAACATCAGCAAGAGGCAAAAGTTAAAGTGCTTGTTCTAGAGAAAGATGCCCCATTTGAATGATTTATTATTATATATTACATTACTTTGTAATATATTGATTAGTGATTGCTGTATGCAGTTAAATCCATTGGTGCCTGACCTCAGGGTCACAACATAAATCTGTGGAGGGGGTCATAACTCATGAGGTGACAGGAAAGAAGAAATAAATATTTCCGATGCACATACTCTTAATCGTTACTAAACTATTCTCCAATCTTTACTGTTATTTGTGAAATGTTGTATATTCTCAAGGCTAAAGGGGATCATGTGTTTACTTTTCATCCTATTTTTAGTATTTTTATTTTATTGTTTTTTATTCTTGTACTTGTCTTTGTTTTTATTTATCGGCTGCGCTTTGGTCGACACAGGTTGTTTTAATTGTGCTTTAATGTGGCAAGAAACAAAAACAGAGAGAAATAAATTGGTCTCAGTAGAAACAGTAGAAAGAAAAAGCTCTCCCACATTACGACATGATCTGTGGGAAGCTCAGTTCAAAACCAACACAGCAACTGTGACTCAGCACCAAAATGAAAACAGGATGCAGGACGTCCACTTAAGGTTCAAGCTCTTATTAAGGTCAGCTGAAATTGAAAATCCCATTGATCATATTTCAAGGAGCAGATAAACAATGTGGGAAAAGAGATTTTAAAATCTTGGGTTTATTATCATGTTGTACATTCAGGTCTAAAAAAAGTGGTTCTGCAATAAATCTTCATTTTGTGCTTTGTGGTGACTTTTAATTGTATTGAGTTATTTTCTCTACTGGGCTTAACAACGTCAGAACATGATAATAACATCTAAATATTTTTCTCTGTAACATATATTTTAAAGTTGTAACTGTAAAACTGTAACCCGTCTGTTCTCTGAAGAGCCACTCACCCTTTTTCGCAGGTTGTAAGTGAGCAGCAGATTTCTGGAGAAGTGGTTGGAAAATGCCGTGTAGAACTCCAGCACCTTCTGCAGGGCGTCGCGTTTGATGACGTGGAGGTCACAGTAGGTCAGAGCTCGCACGTTGGCGCAGGCTTGAGCCAGAGTCACCTCCTTCCAGAAAACGTCGCCGAATACATCACCTTTACCTGCAGACACAGAACACGGTGTTAGACCAGGGGATACTTCCAAAAGTACTTGATATACGTGCTAATTAGACTTCCTAGGGTGTTTTGGGTGTTTGTCTAGCAAGGTTTAAATTTTACTCCTGGACTGTGCTTCTTTTCTTTTTCTTCAGAAAATGTCTCAACAGATCCTGAATAAATATATATAATTGTAACTCTGATAACTGAAATGATAAAAGATCTGTCTTGCAAAAAATATAAATGAAATAGATTCAATAAATAAATAAAGCTACTCAGACTGAAGGTCTATCAGATAATAAAATGATAATTTAGCTGACTAAACCAGTGAGTCATGTTTAATCTTGTAATAAGTACTATGACTCAATATATAATTTACATGTAAATGAAAAGCTTCTCTCACTGTTAGATATAATCACTAATTTGGTTTTACTAAAAACATTTAACTACTTGTTTTACTGGATCAAGACCTGAACAGGAAGCCGTCTTTAAAGATATGCAACTAATAATCAAATTATCATTGAGTCACAGAAATCAATAACATTTAGAACTACTCTACAGTATATTTGTACTGTGGCAGTAGTAGTATTTGTCTAATTTACGACTGTATTGTACGTTATATTCTGTCTTGTTTGTAGCTGTACTTTACATGTTGTTTCTGCTCTACTTTGCCATTCAGCTAATGAGAATTTGACTCATAGTGGTAACTTCTAAATGGCTTCAGGCTCCATTACAGATCCATCCAGGTCAATGGTATCCACCTGACAGTCTGGTAATTGTTGCCAAGAGGAAACAATATTGACGAAAAAGAGCCAAGATGGTGTCACTGGTCCTGCTCGAGGACGCCAGCCATTATTCACTAAATCAATAATTTGGAAAATTAAAAGCAGGGGGTTTAAAAAAGAAAATGCTCGTGGGAATTAAACAGACGGACCCAGAGGAGGAAAGAGATTTATTTTTATTATGTATCGAGAAGATCAGCTCTAGGAGCTATGAAGAGAAGCTGGGTTCATAAATACTAGTCAGCAACTGGCCTGTTTCATTCCTCAACTATATGTGGGTCAGATAATTATAGTCTAAGGATGATGGGTCGGTGTTTATCTCAATGGGTCTTGGATCTGAGTGGTTACAGAATCAGCCCTGATCACGTGATATGTCACAATCATGGACACCTGATGAATACAAATCTAACGTTGACTCTCTTTAGAGCCCATTTTTAGACATGAACTCTGAAAACTGTCCAGAACATTCTCCAGAGTTTGGCTTTCACATATAACCAACACAGCAGGATTCAGACGCCTTCACAACAACAAGGAAATGTCCAAAGCATTACAAGCACATCGACACTGGAGTCGGCCCTCAAACCAAAAGCTCTCGAATCTCGCCGTGTGTCCATGGTATTGTCTTTGTCGGCGTCTCCTACAGATATGAAAACTCTTTTTCATCCTGAGCTATTTATATTCTTTTGCTTTGTTTTTTTTTAATGGTCTGGACTTCCAAAAGAGGATAATCTCTGTTCAGACCCCAGAAACCTCCGGAGCGCTCAGGTGAGGGGTGGTGCAGAGGCAGGACATGATGTATTCATTCCACTGCAGAGATCACCTGAAGCTCAAAGATCAGCTCGTCATCAATTACTCTGCCAAGATATTTACTGTTACACAACCTCAACAGCCGGAACATTAATTACTCGCGCGGCGATGACTGTAGGATTTTTCCTGGAATCTAATATCATCCCTTTAGTTTTTGACACGTTGATGGAGCATCGTGCTGCTGCTGTTGGTTTCCTTCATTAGAGTCCGGTCAGATTGACCACACTCTGTATCACGTCTAATTATCCGCAGGTCGATTTGGGTCAGGTGTCTGTTTTTTTAACAGTTAATTTATGCAGTTTTTCACCAGTTTGATTCGCTGGCTGCAGTTCAGGCACATCCCAGAAGTAAAGGCTGAATCACTAACTTTCATAATAAAATATGTACATTTATTTTCTAACATATTTAAAACTGCACAAGGCTGCATTAATGTGTAAAATAAAACAGCATCCTTGGTTTCTATTCTCCTCTTGTTTTCCTTAATATTATATGAGGATATATTTTGATTAGGACTAAAGCTCGGATGACTGGTGGATTAATAAATGACCTTGAGAAAATTGACCCAAAATGTATAATATTCTGCTTTCATTGTAATTTAAATGAAAATATCTGAGACTTTTGAACTGCTGGTTCATTCGCTTCGGGCTCGGTGAAACTGTGACGGACAATTTAAAACTTCTTTGGGACATTTTAAGAAACCAAAAAATATGTAAAAGATGATGTAATCAAAATATGAATCTGTTTTAATCAGGTTTTTGTAAAGGTGATAAACTCAACTGCTTTGTTGATATAATACTTCTAAAGATGAGAGATGTCCCAAAGTGCTTTACAAAGAAATAGAAATATACATCAAGATATAAAGCAACTAAGAACTTGAGAATAGTCAGAGTAATGCTAGACTTCGGACACATCAGAGATGATACTAAAGTCTTATGTGAACCATTCTGAAAATGAATGCGTTTAGTGGATCAAGTTGAAAAGAGCCGAGTGTTTCCAACGTGTTACACAGAGGATTCAGAGTCTGTGACAAACTCTGGTACAAATCCAGTTAATGACTCAGCAGAAAACGATCCCCAAACAGCTCAGCTTTCACTGCAGTCAGAGTTTGTAAAGTGCTGCCACACAGAAAAGTCTCCTCACACAAATATTCTGTGCCTAAGAGGCAAAACCTTTTCGTTTGACCAGAGCTGGAGGCCAGTTTGACGATGAGATCATAAATTCAGATATGAGCAGGAAGCTCCAGCAGCAACTCTGCATCTTCAACATTTGATTCTCTGTCACAGTAATTCAAAGCTTTGGAAATCAAACTTTATATTCTGTAAAACTTGGCTGAACCATTCGTAATTCATAATAAGGTAGTTCTTCTCGTTCATCGTGTGCTCGGCAGCAGCTGAATTCCTTTTCTGCTACAGTTTGATTGTTTTCTTTCCATTTCAACGACCTCTTTCATCTGTTAATTGTTAATTTTGAAAAATTATTGCTGGTAGAGATGATGAGAACCTCACACAAATCATTAGACCCAAGAGTCGTGGTTTCTTGAGATTTCACAGAAACACAAGAATATTTATTAATTCCTATGAGTCAGAGGGGATTAGATTGAGTTCTCATTAAAACACGATGCCCATTTAAACAACAGGATCAACTCACCTAAGATGGCCACCACCTCATCATCCTGGATGACCTCGAGAGATCCAGACACCACAAAACAGAGGCTGTCCACGCTCTCTCCTCCGTGGTAGATGAGGTCGCCAGGAGCACAGTGGATGGTTTGAAACTCCATGGCCAGAGCTCTGAGACACCCGTCACTGGCCAGCCGGAAAGCTGGGTGCTCTTTGAAAACCTTCCGGTTGAGATGAACACAAATATCTGCTCTCATGTCCTTCGGACAAATCTGCAACACCTGGAAGAAAATCCAAGAGCAGAGAGAAGAGCTGAGGATCCAAGACAGACCTGCTCCGGTCAGGTTTGGGTCGGGCTCAGCTTATTTTCTCTCAGGCCTGGTTTGGTTAAGACAGAAGATTGTGGCCTGAGCTGCACTGTAACATGCATGAGAATGACCTGCATGTGTTCTTCACTGGTTAATCACAACAATCAACCCTCAGCTGCCCCAGTTTGAATCCAACTCTGTGGGAAACTATTAGATGATTTCTTTCTCACTCTGCCTTGTTAATAGCTGTGCTCAGAGAAGCAGTTATGAAGAAACAATTTTATTCGCTGGGACTCAGAGAATATTGGCTTTATATTCAGAAGCCCTCTTTTAGCTCTGTTTTTGGTTTCTACCAGCTCCTCAGGGAAATATGTGGAGCTTAAGCTGCTAAATTCTCCTCTTCGCTCCCCAGCTCGTCGCTAACTTGTTCTGTCTGCTGTTTAGTGCTGAGCATCATAGTATAGTGCCTGCCTCAGAGTATGCATCAATTTTTATTTGATTTTGTTTTCATTCAGAGAAGTGAAAAGAACAGTTGGTACCTTTCTCTTATTTTTTATTTTGTATCATCTGTGGATGTTCAAGGTGAAATCCAGCCTGAACAATAGTTATGTACTTGGTTTAGATTGTTTAATGAGCTTTCAAAATCACATACTCCAAACCCTTCAATTAAATGATTAAGTATCTGCCTCCACATTTTTCAGAAGTTCCTGTTATTGTTCTCAAAGCATAAATTAACTGTCACAAGAAACACGGTTTTATATTTAAAACAACAGATCTGGAGCTCCTTCCTTTTTCAGGGATCACCGAACAACTGAAAGTGTCCTGATATGTCTGTGAATGATGTTTTATTGTGAAGGTCACATGGAAGCTGTGAGCAGGTCAGAGTCCAGCTGGCTCTCTGCTGAGTGTCACCGAGTGGCAGCATCTCGTTCGAGTGCATTTAATCACCGGGATGTCAGCCTGTTGCACGGCTTGGCCTTTAGAACAAATCTCTTTGAAGATGAAAGTCAAGCGGAGAAGGATTATGAGCCATTTTTAGTCCCTTTAGTGTCGCCTGAAGCCAGACACATAAATGATACATGGACACAATGTGAGGACGCAATAAATACCACGGTTTGATTTTCATAAACAGCTAAATCCTTGTTTTATTAAAAGTTACATTTCTAGTTTAAAGCGAAACATTGTTCTATTTACATGATTGTATTTTTGGAAAGGTGGATTGAAATGTGTGCAGGGATATTAAAGCTTTCTGGCCTCACATTAACCAGAGTGGTTAAAGCTTCCAGCTGTAAATGTTTAATTTTCACACGTTCACATCCTTTTAACATCACTTGGATTCAGCCGGACGCCTGCTGGTGACTGGTTATTGTTTTTTCCCCAAAACAAATAACTGAATTTTATATAAATACCAAAAAGTAACATCACTTTAAAAAATTCTTGAGGTGACACAGATATTTCACCTCACTCCTGTTCATGGTGACTCTCACTGTCTGTATGACAAGTTTCAGAAGATTTTCCTGTAGAAGTTTTGAGAAAGTTAAAGGCAAAGCTGGCTACTATTTTCATTATGGCACTCTTAAACTATGTCAACTCAATATATCTTGTGCGGATCATGGTGATTTTACAGACACGGGCTGTAGAAGATGTCTGACGCACCTTTTCGGTGTCTATGCCCCGTGACATGGACCAAGTGGAGGCGATGTAGTCCATGACTCTTTCGCTCAGGCCTTTGGGCACCTGGTAAAGCTTGAGGAAGTCCCGGACGCTGTTGAGCATCTCATGATAACGATTCGTGTTGGCGTACATCTGCTGGAAGATCGTTGTCACGTTACCAAAGATGGTGGCGTAAAGCAGGGCTGGAGAAAAAGAGACAAGGTTCATATTAAACACTGAAGCTTTGAGGAAGCATAGAAATCAACCTATTGTTAGACAATTATATGGACGTATTCCTCATAAGGAAACAAACACTTTGTCAAATCCTATAACAAACTGTCATTTGTTATAGGATTTAAATATTCCTTTCTCAGGGGATCCAGTGGGTTTTGAGGGATTCATTAAACACTTGCAAGTCCAGGGTCACACTGCAGATTTTAAATTAAACATGAACAGTCTTTAACAAGCAAATCAGGAATTTCAAGGACATAAAAAACCTGATTTACAAGGACGGACAAGATGTGCCTTAAGAGTTAATATTGTTTGATGTGGTGAGTGCTTTAATCAGTCACGTGGGAAATAAACAGTTACTTCTCACCGTTTCCAGAAAATACAATCAACACATCTCTTGCCAAAGGGAAAAACTATGATTACAGCTTTTTATTGCATGCAAGCGTCCGTTCTCGTGCAGCTTTATCCGACTAAACAGGGATATATTTTTCTTGTGATACAAGAATGAAAGAAAAGGCAAAAGAAAGAATACAGCAGTGCATCTGCGAGGTGGTTGGGTAGTTGAACTGGTGCAACAGCTGGCATGTGTGTGGATCAAAGCCATCAGATGTCTGCTCTGTATGGAGTAGTGTTCTCCTGGCAATGGAGCCCTAATTAGCCCTGCTAGGAGGGATGGAGAGGAAGCATGCCAGCCACACATTTCAATTATCCTCAGATGATGACAGTAACCTGTGCGTGCATTTGTGAGTGTGTGTTTGTTTATTTCACAGCGCACAATCAAAGTGTTGAAAAACTGCACTGGGAATAATACTAATTAAAAAGTGCTCAAAACCCCCCAAGGGCGAGGAGAACCGCAACTTTCATCCTTTCATCCCCATCGCTCACTGGTACTACTACGTTGTCAAGCGTTGCCGTACAGTGCAATTTTCTTTATCAACGTAAACACAAAGGATATGTTCTTGTTTTGTTGCATCCTCTCAGCGCTGCACATTCGCAGGCATCCAACTCAGCAAGTTGACAGAAGAAGAGAGACGATTTGACAACCACCTTGTTTTGAAGTCGCCAAAGTTTCTGGACAACTACTGCTTCCAAGCTTGAATGCAAACGCTAACTTCTCTGATTAAGCAGGAAACGCTGTCACAAAGGAAACTCAATCGGCCCCTGCGGAGCGGAGCTTCAGCTCGTCCCCAACATTCCTCCTTTACTCGCTGACGTGCACAACTCCGTCGCAGCATTGCTCGCTGCTTGTTTGAGCGTAGACACTTGTCAGAAACTCAAGCCCCCTGGCCAACAGTTGCTATAGAAACAGGACATACTGTATATACACTTCCCTCCCACGCTTCCCCGTGCCACCCCCCACCGATCCCTCGTCACACTGTGATCTTCTCCTGCCAGCACCGATCCACTGCTGATGGTAAAAATAGAACAGTATCAGGGCATCCATATTTCATAGAGAACCGCCACAGACTACAGTAGATTTCATCTACAACTCAATCCTCCCGAGGCTGTCTGCTTTCTGGATATTTACGCTTCAGGTTGATTTGTATCTCACAATAACACATTTAAAACAGATCCAAGCCTGCAGATGACTTTTAACCAGCTCCCCCGAGATTATATTCATAAACCTGAACAGCTGAAAGGTAAGAGAGGGGCGGAGGACGAGGGGGGGGGGGGGGGGGGGCATTATCCTCTCGTCTCAGGGTTGAGATTGTGGCTGAAAAAAGTAGAAGGGAGGTGAGGAGTGATTGCAGAGGGAGCACTGTGTTAAATTGATCTGGCAGTGTCAGTTATTGCTCCGAGGTGCTGCTCTCTGCGTGCAGTCACACATGATGGCCCCGCTCTTTACGCTGCATTATGAGATACACAAGCAGAAGATTCCTTATAAATGTTTAATACAGAGAAGTGGAAAGAAAGGCACGCTGTGAATATCCACCTCCGTTTTTAACAGATTAGACGTTCTGTTAAATAAACAATATCTCAGTCACTGTTATGTGCTGGTTAACCACTAGGTGACTTTAATAGACATTATTCATCATTATTTAAGTGTCATTTTAATAATAGATTTCAGATGTGAATGTATTTGGTGACTTTTAGATTCACGACTGATGTGTTTGAAATCTGCCAGTGACCACAAACGCTCGTTTAGATGCTTTTTTCTGAAATACTAAAAACTTGTTTGAGTGACATTCACATAAATAAAGCAGCGGCTACATGTAATCATAATGGAGGAGAAAATAAAGAGCCAGGCGTCTGTGTCCTGGAGGAAAAAGATCTCTCTGACCAGTGGCGTGCTTGTCAAAATACACACTAAATGTCCAGTCTCTGAAAACTCTGTGGAAGTTTACAGGTGAATATGTGGATAAAAAACACTTTCAACCTAAAAACTGTTCAGAACACAGGCCCATGATGGTGTCAGTGAAATAAAACCTTCAGCGAGGAGTTCTGACATCGATCTATATTCAACCCGAGCAGATTATCCCAGGTGAGTTATAGAGAGTTGGAAATATTGCTCTACTAATTATCGAGTTTTGCTTTTTCTGGGCGTCAGAGGCTCCATAATTCATTTATTCACCTACTTCTGTGGACTGTGGTTTTAAAGAGCATAGTTAAACTTCTCATGTTTCATGTATTTGCTGCATTAGAGAGAAGGAGAGACGCCTTCACTCACATCCAATCATCATCATGGCCACGGCGAAGATCTTTTCTCCGTCTGTCGTAGGGGCGATGTTCCCGAAGCCGATGCTGGTCAGGCTGGTCATGGTGAAGTACAGGGAGGTGATGTAGACCGAGTCCTTGTTCGGCCCACCTTCCCACTTCCCTGAGCCGCTGGCGTTGAAGCGATACGGCGTGCCCACCGTCTCAGCCAGGATGAAGAGCCAGCTGTCGCTGCGCACGATGTTGGTCTCTTCGTCGATGACTTCATAATCACCGATGCTGTACCTGGAGCATGAATAAGCATCATGAGGCAGCTGAATCTCACAACAGAGCGTTTTTCTATAGGAGAGGAGAATTAATCTCTGAGGTTTAAATCAAGTCTATACAGCCAATTTGTACTACACCCTATTGAGTTGGTTATTTATGACACGTCTGAGTAAGCTTCCTGGGAAAGCCTTGGAGACATGTAACAATCCTTCTGAATATAAATTTGATAAATGTCCTGATGCAGCAAAAAAAATGATGACTGTGCATCAGTTTACGTTGAAGCGGTGAACACATGAAGAGGAAATCCTTTGTTTCAATCTTTTTTAGAGGCCCGGGGAGGTTAAACTCGACACAAGAGAAAAGGAAGGATAAAAGAAAACCCACAAACCAAACAGAATTCTGTGTGACAGGATTTAAATTTTCTTATCAATACCCTGATGATTATGAAATACCAACAGCCACTTCCATTATTTCGTGACGGGCAGAGAGGGAGGCTGCTGCTGCAGCTGTGAGAGGGCCTGGCTATTCGCTGCTGTCATCCGGTGGTTCAACTTTTCTCAACACGACACCACGACTTGGAGTGTGACCATGGCAACCACAGAACCCGCACTGAGGGAAGTGGTACAAGGGGCTGATTTTACTGGTGTGTGGTTTTAAAGCAACACCAGCGTTATTAAATTGTCTGATTATACTGTCTGGGTGTGAGAACCCCGCAGGAGGCTTAAATAATGCATATTAGCCCAGTTTGTCTCATATAAAAACACAATACTTGAAATTGCCTCTCTTGCAATTCTGTTCGAGAAGTGTTTGTGTAAAGGAAAATGTGAGTGTGCGGTTATTTTGTACAAAATGTATAAACATAAACGGGCGTCTGCGAAGGAAAGATTTGAGCTCATCATCAACTATCCGACATATAGTTTGACATTATGTTGTGATGGCATCTCCAATCCACTGTGTGTGTTTCCAAACATAAACAGAACAAAACAAGCACAACACATGATGGGAACTTGCCCCCTGTAGAGGAGCTGATCTGATTAGACTTTGGAGGCCCGTGCTCCATACATTTACATATTAATGAAGAAAAAACAAATTCGCTCGAAACCGCTATACCTCTGTCATGCAGGCTTTATAGTAGGAAAAACACAGGTTTAATACATGAGAACAAGTGTGTTGACCAGAAAACAACAGCTAATTAATGCATTAATTAGGTTAATCAACGACCTCATTACATTACCTGGCTCTGTGATTAATTAATCCAGACGATGGCAGTCTAGCACAACGTGTTATGTGATTTCATGTGTGTTTGTTTTCTTTTTAACAGATGTGAGACTGAAACTGACAAAATGCTGCCTAGGATACACATTGTAAATAATTTTTGAAATGATATTCATGTTCAGGCCGAGTTATATACTTGATTTTTCACATTTCACGTGACTTAAATGAGTGAAAAACCATCAGACTCGTGTCGGGTTCAGAACAGGATGTCAGCTGGGATTGTTAGGACAGAGGATTCTGGCCCAAGAGAGTTTAAAAAAAGTAATAGAGTGAAAGGTAACGACGGATTAGTGATGAATAGATGTCATGAACGTACCAAATGCAGGCGAGCCAATGAGCAGCCAGTCCGAAGACACACACCAGCAGGACCAGTACAGCCGCCCCGTACTCGATGTAGTGATCCAGTTTACGAGCAACACGACCCAGACGGAGGAGCCGGACCACCTTCAGGGAGCTGAACAGACTGCTGATCCCCTACGATGAAAAACCGAGGAGGAGAAAGATAGAAAGAGAGACAGACTTTGAAAACAACATTTATAAAAGAGAGAACAGTGTGTTTTTTTAGTTAGAACATAGTAAATGACAAACTATACAGTTGTATACATCTAAAGTGTTAATTATAGCAATTTTAAATTGCCATATATAGTATATTTCATATAATTACAGATTTTTAACTATATTATCATTTATTAAGTTAAAGGTGCCCAAAGGAGTTACAGCTGTTGACATATACATTTATATTTGTTTACAACTACATCATTTCGTGTTCATGTACTGCATACAAATGCTAAATATACGTTAGAATGTCTTATCATATATACCTTCCAGTATATATTTGCAGTACAGTATTACTTTTTCAGTTCAGTTTCTAATTAAAACACATTTCATTAATGTTTTCTTTTATTCATTTATTTTTCCATCCACCTTTCTCTGTGTCCTTATGTTGTTTTTGTTTCATTATTCATGAGTGACTGGTCGCTGTAACGCTGAAGTTTCCTACTGGGATTAATTAAGCTCTTGCTGGATAAAACAAACTTTGATAGTTCTTCAGGTAAAGAAATAGGTGCAAGAACTTTACAATTAAAATACATCTTCAGATTGAACAAACCTCAGGATTAAGGTGATTTGCAAGAATCGGTCATATAAAACCCAGTGTGAACACAAAGTGATTCCCTCTGGTGAGTGTGATGACAGGAAAGCATTTTAAAGAATCAGTAGACGAGTGTATGAACCTGTTTTTTCTAAGTGCTTCAGTGGATGTGACACGACCACAAGAGCAAAACAATAGTGTTAACATGCGCTGAGTTGATTTTAGAAAACATTCCCATGCAATGTGATGAAGTTCCTCAACTTATATATGTTACATAACCAGCAGCTAAATGTCTGCTCAGCTTAACTGTGCAGTGAAACACCCACTCAGTGATTCAAACAGACAACTGCAATCCCATCAGTCTGCTGTCTGCTGCTATTGCGTGCGTGCTTGTGTGTGTGTGTGTGTGTGGCGGCAGGAGGGGTATTGATTTAGCTAATGTGCTGTGGTCTGCAATGCGAGCAGACCTACAACTGCAGCGCTCGGTGTCACTCGATCTGATCAAGCTGCCGGACACCTCGGCTTCACTAAAATCACTTTACCGACCTGAGCTCCAACACAATTCAATTACCACTGCGGTCGTGCTGTTGAGTTCTGCTGCAGCTCAACTCAAAACACGAGTTGAGAGAAAGGTGCGACGCTGAACAGATATGAAAAATAAAATACGTCATTAAAAGAAGAGTTAAACATTTTGGTATCAGGAGGGAGCTGAGACTCTCAGCAGCATCGTATTAGCTCGGCGTTAAGACCAGAAACAGAAGAAAACAGCTTTTTAAAGTTTCTAAATAATTACAAAAACCACCTTAACTCACAGAATGCATCTTACTTGTTTAATCAGTAAACACAGAAACCAACAACAGAAGTCTGAGCTAACCTAAATAGGCCTGAATTGAAAACTAAATAGGCCTGAATTGAAAACTGTGGTGTGGGGGGGGGGGTGCTGCTGCAATCACATCAGCGGTATGAGTCTCTTTTGGCCATCAGCTCTCATGCAACTTTAATGATGCTGTTGTTCATTCTCAAACTGCAGAACACAATCTGATCGATGTTGTCTCCTGGCAGTGAAAAGCTTTGGCAGAGACATTTGTGACTTTTGTTTCCTGCATTGATGCGTCGGTCGTCGTTCTCATCAAGCAACTGCGGCGGCTAAAACGCTGGCGTGAGAGTAAATGTGGGAAGTGTGTGCAAATGTTGTCGTCGATGAGAGGGACCATGTTTGGCAGTTGTGCATGTTAAATGAAAAAAAAACACAAAAACTGTTCATCATCATCATATTCTGATCAAACTGAAGCCTACTTGAGTGACAGCTCGGTGGTTCCAATTCTTCCCATCGCGTCCCATGCATGAACAAAGGCGGAAGAGGGAGGGGCCATGCAAACAGAACAGAGGGATGAAAAAGAAGAAAAACAAATACGAAAGCACAAGTAAGAGAGAAGACACTTGATCAGTGGTAAGCGATGAATAAACACATGAGAAAATCAATAATCAATAACGGCTTTAAAATGAAAAGAAGCATAAAAAACAACATCATCTGTGATTGTAAACATGTGCAGTGACCAGAGCATGCAAACAAAGCATCGCTTCATCAGCTGTTTGCTAAAAACACTCAGACAACGTGAAGTGGATCATTCTCTGTTGTTTGGGTTTCCAGACGTTAGAAACTGAAATGAGAAAATAACTCGTTGTTGTTTCAGTCAGTCTCAAGGTGAGGATTTTAAGATTGCAGAGAATAACTTTGACAGCCGCTCCTCGCTAATGATCTTCCCTTCTCTGTTTGGAGACCTGTTGGGGAAAACAGCCATCAAAGTTATTCATGCCAGTCGTTAAGATCCGTAGCAGCAGCAATACGTTCTGCTGCTGCTTTAATAACGTGGACAATCTCTTAATCTCAAATGAGATTAAGAGATTGTCCACGGATTCGCCTCAAAAAAATTTTGGAGCAAATTGGAGTCGTTGAGTTGTTGCAGAGACGCAGCGGAAGATGATCCTGGAAGTGGACAATCGCAGCTTTGATGTCGGTTTAGAGTCAATGTGTTCGAAACTTTATCATAGGCAACACGTATGTTCATGTCTGCCATTAACACTTATTTTCCCCGAAAAAAATATGTTTACGTTTTTTTTTCAATTAAAACATTTGTGTCGATAAGAAAATTTTGTAAAAAAATGCAATTTCCAAAATTTGCTCGTCAAACGTTCCGTTATAAAAACTCACTTAAGAACCAATGAATTCTATCTGTAGAGAATTAATCAGTTTGATAACTGATCAGGGATTTAATATTTGACTGACAGCATAATGACTAAATAATCATTTTTCATGGGATGTACTGACAGTAAGAAATAATATAAGAATATTTGGTTTTAAAATAAGTACATTTGAGGTTTGGTTTTTTCTTGATAACACTAAAAAGATCAAATAACACCAGTCTGGTTCTTTTGTGGTTGTTGGTTTTCTCTTCTTCCGCCTTGTTTTTCTGGCCCTGCTGACCCCTGACCACTTCTGCTCTGGACGCTTGTCAGCGTTTCAGATGCTGAAGTGTTGAAAGACTAGAAAGGAGAAAAATGCTGGAGCTGCAGATACAAGCCAGCGCTCACTGACCACCCAGTAACAAGCCTGTTTTTCATCACAGGATTATCACAGCACGTCATGTCGACTCATATGGATACGTGCTGCCCGACGGCCCCTGAGAGCCAACGTGCACCGCGCCGCCCGCTGCGTGACACACTGCGCGGTTAAATGCCATCACAGCACTTTGCACAACCACGTCATTGCAACAACACACACATATCATGAGACACGTCACATTCAAGCACGCAGAGGCGTTCACACACAGTGATGCATTGACATAATGAAAACCAGCAAGTGCTGGACCCCGAGGATCCATTTAATCAATCAATGTGTGTGTGTGTGTGTGTGTGTGTGTGTGCGTCTGTGTGTGTGTGTGTGCGTGTGTGTGTGTGTGCGTCTGTGTGTGTGTGTGTGCGTCTGTGTGTGTGTGCGTCTGTGTGTGTGTGTGTGTGTGGGTTGGAAAACAGTGATTTACAGGAGCAGTTGGATCAGATTCAGAAGCTGTAGTTGCACTGTACAGCTAGAGATATGAAGTAAGCATCAGCTGCATGTTTTCTGATTAGATTTCATCAGCAAATATATAATATTTTAATATGATTACAATCTGAAAGGGAATTTGTTCCCATAAATATTCCTTTGCTGAATCTCCGGCTGTATTCTCACATGGGATCACTCGAGCATTATCCAGAGTTTTAGCGGCCTGGCAAGAATAACTGCAGGGAATGCACACAGGAAGCCCTCTCTGGATAATTTCAGGACAATACCTGAGGTTCAGTGCACGTCCGAAAGCAGCTCAGGCCTGGTGAAAATTGGTCATGTTAGCATAATCCCACTAAATGATAAAGCAACAATCACATGTTTTTTTGATGCTTTTGTCAGCTGCCATAAGGTGTTAATGGTTTTGGTGCATTAGTGACACAGCGGAGCTCAGAAGACAGCTTCAGTTTAATAATGTAAACGCTCCAGTCCCAATTAAAATGTGCCAATTATCTCAAGATCCTGCCACAGTTACTCCACCGAACCCTCCTCATCCTGGCTGAAACCCACACGCAGACATTTCATCATGCTGCTCACTCAAACTCAGTTTTTCACTGTCACCGTACAAAACAACAAGTGGAGCCGGATCTGATGTCGGCTACAGCGGTTATTAAATGTGGTCGAGTGCCTGCGTGGAAACCTAATGACCTGCCAGCTCCGTTCAAAAGGATCCCCTCTACAATGTTAACTTAGTTTGATGGGAGAAAAAAAAGATGAGCAGGCAAAGAACAAGTCTACGTTTCTTAGAGGTAGTAACACAAAACTACTGCATCTTTTACTACAATAAAAAAACACACACCAGTACTGGAGTTTGAAATACTATCATTGATATTTAAGGGTTGTATAAATCAGGTAATGATAATATTCAATGATGTTACATTCATTAGGTACATTTTGTGCATAAGCACTAAAGCCTCAATTATATATTGGTTGAACAATCAAATTGGCCGATAAAAGCCTTAATCAGTATTGACACTATGTTTGCTGATGTGTCACACAAACACAATAAACTATCATGTACATGCATTTATTTTCTTAATTCAAGTTCTATACATTTGGTTGCATTTGTGTTTTTATTTTTAGTAAAATATCAATTTAATATTTGCTGATAAATAGATTTTTTTTTCCTCCCTATTATCGGTATCAGCCTCAACCCACAAAAATCCATATTGGTCCAACACTAAATTATCTGTCACTAACTAAATATCTATCCGTCCATCATAAACAACACTTATCCTTAGAGGGTCATAGGTGAGTGACCCTCTAAGCAGCCTGGGCCAATCCCAGCTGACCTTGGGCGGGGTTCAGCCTGGACAGGTCACCAGCGTATCACAGGACCGACACACAGAGTCAAACAACCATTCACGCTTATTTTTACACCTCAATTTATAGTCTCCAGTTAACCGAACTCCAATCTGCATGTCCTTGGACTGTGGGAGGAAGCCAGAGTAGAAACTGACTCCACACAGCAAGGCCCACTGACCTATAAATCAACAAATAAACTAACAGTTGATTAAATGTCTCTTCCGCTCTGTCAATCATCAACTCATCCGCTGATTACTTTCGAGAGTTTCGTCTAAAAAGTCTGAAAATGTCCATCACAATTTCACTTATTATTTTATCTGTCCAACAGTCTGAAAACCCCCAAATACTTGATTTATGATCACATACTAGCAGATGATCGGCGTGAAGTTTGAAATGAAAATGATGAATAATGATGATTATCCAAATAGTTTCTCCGACGCCCTCGCTGACACACAGAACCACTGCACTGACCTCGTCCACGTTCTCGAAGGCGTTGATGACGTCGTACGGCAGACAGGACAGCAGGTCGATGACAAACCAGGTCTTCAGGTAGTTCATTCGAATCAGCTTTGGGTCGGAGATGACCTCGCCGGCCGGTCCGACGAACGTGGTGTGGAAGTTCAAAACTATATCCACCAGGAAGATGACGTCCACGATGCTGTCCACCACCAGCCACGTCACGTTGTTCTGCTTGGTCTTGAAGGAGACGTTGTACGGCACCATGATGGCCGTGTAGAAGGTGAGGATGAGGATGACCCAGTCCCAGGTGGTCTTGAAGAGGCAGTAGTGCAGGATGATGTGAGGAGGGGTTTTGGGGGTCTCCTGCTTGTACTGAGGTAGGAGATCTGAGCCAAGCTGGAGAACCTGCAGAGAGATGTAACGGGAAAGTGTAACTGCTCAGAGGAAGAGCTGATCTCTCTCTCTTTTTCAGCAAAGTAACGATAGTTCTCAACCATTTCTCCAGAATGTGAACTGATTCTAACTGAACAAAAGTCAGCGACTGAATCGTCTGTACCTCAGCTAAGCGCGAGTGCTTGTGGACGTTCTCTCCTTTGTGGACCGTGGGCTGCAGCTGCTGTAAGACTCCTCTGCTGCTCGTTAGAGCTCGAGTCAGTCGGGCAAACTTCCCCCAACCTGAGGATTATCAACACAAACGATTTACAAGCTTCAAATGTTAATTCAGAGATTTTTCTAGGACTACAGCAGGTTTTCTAAACATGTGGGGATTCTTGATAAGACGCACAGTCAGGGTCTGAGGTGTTGCTTTCTTTTCAAACAGACTGCTTGGCAACTGGAGTTCTCAAACCTTCAGTATATCTTCTGCATCACCAGCTTCAAAAAGCCTCGGGTTTGTGTTCGGTTAAATTGATGATGTCTGACTCATTTCATCTGGAGACTTTTCTTATGTTGGGAAGAAATAATGTTTTGGGGTCCAGTCGATTTATGTCGACACAGCATGGTACCGACTGCAGGACCTACTGAAAAGTCAAAACATCATTTAACATGAGAACCGAGCTTCTTTTAGAACGCTGCACATTTTACTGCAGTGGCCTTTTCAGGTTTACATATGATTATATGTTTCTAAAGCTGCAATAAGCTGTTACAGGTTCTGGGTACTTGGTTGTGAGGCTTTATATTCCAATTTATATCCTGTTCCATTACTTTTTAATCTTAAATTCATCACCCTGCTGAATTCAAATAAGAACTTTTAATGATACTGATCCATAAAGAATTACCAAATGCAAGTGTAAAGATTTAGCATTGCACTCCTTTGGCATAGTCTGACTCAAGATGGACGATTCTTTGCTTTCTTCCTCTTGTCGAAATCTGCTGCCCTCATTACACATAATGCAACTCAAGTAGCCTCAGGTAGAGACGAGATCCAACTATTTCATTTTCAAGCTTCAAGTTTTCAGACTCGACTGATACGTAAGTGATCTGAGACTTTGTACAACTGGAGCCGCAAAAGATTTTACACTCTTGCTTTTTCTCAAGGTCTGACAACAGATTTTAGTGGGTAGAATCAGTGAAGTTCTCCTTAAAGCCAAACTATTTCAAAATGACCTCGTAAAAACATTTTCTGAGTTTTGCTTAGGCAGTATAAGGCCACTTTATTTCAGCACAGTGATATATTCATGTCTTCATGAGGTGATGCTACCTGTTGATGCTGTGATGTTTTTTTTCCACCACTGTGCGTTTATCGTTGCTCTCTTGCACTCATCCCTGTTCTATTCTAGCCGTCTTCAACAGTTACACAATTATTCAGTGGAAAAATGAATGGTTTCTTTGTTTTGTGAGCTGATGTGTTTGATTGACTGGGTACTTGTCGGAGCAGATGCACAACGCACAAGGTGGAATGGTGCTGCCGCTCTCATTTGATGACAAGCATGGATCTAAAAGTATTGTTTCTATTTCAATCCCTCTGACATAGAATTAACTTTCGCTGCTTCAGAAAGGCTTCGTTTCTGACAGAGGGCGTGAGGCTCAACAAATGAAATCGAACCTTTGGAGGAATCGTCTTCGATGGGCTGTTTAAAGGCTGTTATATCGCTGAACGTGCAAAGGAACAGGACCACTTTCTCCTGTTCGTTTCGAATGGGCGCAATCTTCACAAAAAACCAAACAGGCGTCCCTGGAAGTATAAAAAAAGAACACACACATTAATCTGCGTTATTTTTGGATCAGTGTGAGCGTGCACATGGCAGAAAATCTTGATTGCACAGTGTTAAGTAAAAGTGAAACGTTGTGGAGTGTAAAAACTTTCCGTTTCTCTGCACCACCTGCAAACAGATTTACACCTGCGAGAGGAAACAAGCACAGCATCGCATTTTTCTGGGAGAAGGTTTCTCTGGTCTGGCTCTCAACCAATTAGCACATTTCTACAGAGGTAGGAATGTTCTGGGCTGTGTTTGAACTCGGCTCCGTATTTTACACAGGCTGTGAATACATTTGCATGACAAGAAAGTGGAACAGCACATTTCTCTCCTTTTCTTACATTCGGCGTCGATACTTACTGTTCTTCTTGTACATCAGTATTTCAAACGAGTTCATCTCATAATTCTCGAATGTTAGTCGCACTTTTTCCGTCGTGTCCTTGTCTGTGAGCTCCCCGTACATGAAGCTGGAAAACACAAAGGGAAGTGACAATTTGAATATTTAATAGATAGATTCATTCTGGCGCTGAGGAAGGTTCAACTGTGTCAATATCTCAATGGATTTGTTTCCAAGTACATTGCCTCCTTAAACGTTGGTGTTCTGTTTTGCTTTTTATATCAACATGCTAAACATAAACCTCTTCTTAAATATAAATCTGTATTTTCTAAAAAATAGATGTAGCAGCAATGGCTAGGACACAGAGTAGGTGATCGATGTCGGCAAAATCTAAAAGGTTCTAAAGGGTTCTGTGTACTAAGTCGAGCTTCACTAAACTTTGAATAAAAAGGTGAACAGCTCTATGTGCAGCAGCAGTGGTGCATCTTCAGGGTTCTGAGGACTGAGTCCAGCAGCCGTGCAGCTCGATCACTGCAGGTCACTTTTCCAGTTTCAGAAAGAAAGCTGCAACCAAGCGTCACCACAGGCCAAGCAAACAGCCCATTTCATCCAACCTTTGATTTCCACTTGAATATAAATGTATATTCTCTTAACAAAATTAAAATTATGTGCTATTCAAGTTACACTTAAATTGTGCAGACAAGCTGCTGATTGCTTGCTACAGAGATCTTTAGAGAGGCAGACACTGCAGAAATAGGCTCCATTAAATATGGAGCAGGAGTAGATTAAAACTCATTGAAATATATCCTGAAAGCATAAAAAAGATAAATGCAATCTGGTGTCTAATTGGCCAAATGCAAAGTACCGCTCAAAAACCAATTAAACCTGGAGATGGGTCAAGCAACCATGAGCACATTTAACTGGAGACATTCATCTCACTTTGCTTGTGACTGCCACCCTCAGTAGCAGCATGTTCCAGCATGAGCTAAATATAACGTAGTTTGTTGTGAAATACAAGAGGAAGGCTAAATTTAATGAGACTGCGTTCTGACACTGCAGAGACTTTTCAGACCAGCGCTCGATATAACATCACTGATGAATGTCCTCTTTCTTCTTCTCTCTGAGCTGAGAGGGATTTTGCTTCAAAGAAAAAGAAAAAAAAAACGCTTGAAAACCAACCCTCAATAGCTTTCTTGTCACGCATGAGAAATTCCCACAGGTCTGTCACTGTATGTTTACGGGATCCAACACAGAGAACGATATATGCATAATTGAAAAGACATGGATCAAAATAAGAGCAGTTGAAATGGAAATAACATCTTTGACCTGCTACAGTGAAAGAGGTTTAGTGATTAGACCTAAACACTCTGGAGGCATGAGTACACATTTTATGTTTGAGTCTCACTCAACATCAAACGTCCACAATCTGAATGTTTAATGCCTCATAATCATCGAGGCTCATGAAGTGACAGGAAATGAATCTGCACGTTGCTGCTCCTGTGCGACACAGTTCAAATACTGTTGATATGATTCAAGGTATAAAAAGGACAGGAGGGTTTTCTTTTTAGCAGCTAATAGCAGCTAATAATAAGAATTTTTAAATTATTACTACAGTTGTATAAAATTGCCGGTACAAATGGCTGCCAGATCATTTTGATAATCAGTTTATTTTCATTTTGATATATATCGGACTGAGACACAGACATTCACCAGAGTGGCGTGTTTAGCCGTTTTTTTTTTCATAACAAAACAGACCTCTGAAATAACCGACATGTAATGTTTGAAAAAACAACAGTTAAGAAATCATTCAGACTTAAATAAACCACACACACGATGCAAAAACAATTATAAAGCAAATTAAGTTTCATTTTATGAAAAAGATTACATAATATAGAATCTCCACTGCAGATAAAGCAGGTAGGATGAACACAAAGTTTTCTAACTTCATTCTGCAACAGTGACTGTTTACAAAAAGTTCTGCACACAAACAATAAAGAAGTGACAGTGTATTGAAGAGGGTTTTGAGGACGGGGACTATATACAGTATATATATAAACACAAGACTCCTCTCTATGGAGCAATCAAAAATAAGCCTTAAATTGTCTCACACACTGTTAAATGTTTGTACTGGCACATGTACTGAAGCTTATGTTTAGGGAGCCGAGGGTCTGAATCAGTAATAGCAGCAGTGCTGGCTGTGACACACACCATCTCCCACAACACAAACAAGCTCCCACGGTTTTCTAAAAACCTGGCAGCTCCAACGTGATCCCATTAAAATAACGTTTTACTGATGTGTTTATTACAGGTACAATACACACAAGTGCTGAAAGTGTTCGCTCCAATATGAGGACGACTCATTTGGAGAATTTCCTTTTATTCCTCACTGCATTTTGGAAAAACACCGGGGACACTGTGTCCACACTTCACCGTTACAGTCGGTGATGTGGAGGCAGTTTCAGTTTTTACAACCTGGTTACATCAGAGGTCTGTCTTCGTTATCTGGGTTCTGGTGTTGCAGGAGAAACAAATCCGCTGGACTCTCTTTCACGATGGGAATATTATTAAATCTGATGCAAGTGATTTTCTCATTTCTGTCAAAATAACAAAACGTATTGTTTTAACTTCCTCTGCTGAGGGACACTGGGAGATGTAGTCCATCCAGGGTCTCTGTCACAGTTACATCTGGTATAAATAAGGTCTCCTGAGAACCAGAAAACTGAGCTACTCACGAGTTCAGCGATCCTGCAGAATGCAATACACACAGCTAATAATCGTAAATTCACGTTTGAAATGAAGAGCTATATATCAAATGCTCGGTGGTTCCTCATCCACCACTTTGGTCCAGTCTGAGACATCTATCTACGGACTGCTGTGACGCTGACGATCCCCCTGACGTTTCCTCTGGTTCCACAATAAGGCTGACATTTGTGTTATTGAGTGAAATCTCTCATCAACTATTGGACTGTCACAAAATCTGGCACGCACATTTATATCTCCCTCTGGATGTATTGGAATAACTTTGGTGACCCTGTGGCATTTGATCTAGTGCCATCTAGAAAATGTCACTTTCTTCTTTCCATTGTTCTTTTTTAAGACAGTATATAACTTTTAAATTTGATTATATTTTAGTTTGTGTGTTCTATACTCAGAAACGCTGATTCCCTTTACCTACCTGCAGGTGCTGCTTTTCTGCATCACCTCTGCTCTGTGGTACCCAGACAGCTTGCAGAAACCATCGTTACTGTAGACAATGGGCCAGTCCACGATCTGAGCATTTCCCAGCACAAAGTTGGTATCTGTTTGAGAGTAAAAGGGCAAATTAGTTCAGACATTAAGACTAAAACATTATACAAATACTTCAATTAGAGTTTGAGTTGGGGAAAAAGGCCAATTGCACCTGATTTAAATCAAAGACAAGGATTTGACTGAAGTTATTCAAACACTGACAGGACACAACTACAGAAGATACAGATGTTAAATGATTAACCCTGAACATGTTTTTGTTATAAGGCAGATGTTGGAGTTTAAAAGAGAAACATGTCACCTTCAGTTACATTGCGGATTGGAAAGTGCACATGCTTATTTATAAAGAAGAGAGAAAACATTTACTGGAGCATTACAGTGATTCAGCAATTATACTGGGCCATTTAAATGTTCAGTAACAATATGATGGAGGTTATCCTCACACCAAAGCTACAAAACCTGATATATGATTTTAGTTTCCTCCATCCTGTATGTGTGTATTTACAAATGTGCCCAAAGCTCGTTATGTTGTCCCTCATCTTTAAAAAGATTGAGTGACCCTGCCTTTAAAGAGCCAACACACACTTTTCCAAACACACTGAAGATTTCCATTAGTGTCCATGAGGGTCTACGGCCCATTACACACTCCACACACACAGATGTGACCCAAGCACCAACTCTGTGCATCTAAATATCTGCTTACTTGATTTTCTTATTAGTAGTTGCTCATTAGCCGTTTTCACCAGAGCAGCTTGTGCGGAGTGTGTAAAAGACCTCATTAGCTGTTTCTGAGGGAAAACTGTTGTGTTTGTTATTTGGTCCAATTTACAGAAACATTATGATAAAGTATTCCTTACTGCGTAATGCTGTGTACAAATATTAATACCTGCCGTCATCAGTTTTTAAATGTCATGGATAATAGAGTACATTAATTCTCATACTTTGCATTTTGCTTATTCAAATGTCAGCAAGGCTTTCGGGTTAGGCTCCAAGCGAAACTTATTCATGGTTATAATGTGAATAAATAATCAATGAGTTCAGGTCCACTTTAATTGGCCATGTTACTTCCATCCTATTTTGTTAACGACAGCAGTTTTGTAATCAACATTCACATGCTGGCACTCTGTGTCATTACCTAAACTAGTAAAGTCTTAAGTTAAGGGATAACGCTGGTATTCTTAATTTTAATGGATGGTTTAATGATCTAACAATAATGAATAAAACAAGCACAGGTGAAGTAAATTTAAGAAATAGAATATTCACTGTTCGCATAATTAACTGTTAAAATCCCAATACATTTAAATACATATTTCTTATACCTTATTAATACTAAATCCTGAATATTATAACAGCAGGTATTCATATTTGCGAATGTACTGAAAAGAATACTTTCTTAAAATTCACTGTAAATTGGACCATTTAAAAACCCAAGTTCCCTTCAAACAGTCTGTGATTCAAGAGCCAATAAGAACCAATGACAGGGACCAAGTTGACACTTAATGTGTACTGATTGATCGACTACATCAACTCATGCGATGAGAAACACACGAGAACATTCCAGCTCAAAGCCTCTGAGTTTAATGTTTTCTAAAAGGCAGTAAAACATTACGTTCACTTTATTTTAGTTTCCTCAGAATGGATGTTTTCAATACGACTACAAGTGAAGGAAATTATTCAAAACACAAAATACTTGTGTTCCTTCAGCGACGTGCTAAACACAAGCTCATAATCCAATATTCAAACAAATAGTTGTGGTATTGCAATATGAATATATGCAATATTTTTTCCCTGTCTTAAAATAAATGGCTATGTTTGGTTAAAATTCCTTTCAAATCATAAGATATTATTGTACACTTGTGTTTTTTTGGATACTCTTTTGAAATAATCAAAAAAATCGACTTAACTTTGGAGAAAGGCAAGAAGGAGCAGATATAATGGTTTTAAATGTTTGGGAATCTCAAGGCAAACCACCCTGCTATTCACACACATTACAACAATGTGACGACACAGGGGAGAGTTGAACAACACCTGGTACAAAAACACACAGAGATTTTATACCACATGTAAACACACACGCACAAACAAAATAAAAATTACAGTTAGAAGCATGAGAACACTGACAGAATAAAAAGCATAAGACGTTCCATGCCAACGTGTTATTTTACAGTGATCAGGTGGATGTTACTCTTGTGATTAAAGAAGCATCAAGTCAAAAGCTCTCATTAGAACTGGATTTGTTCGTTTACTGTTGTGATGCAACAAATTTGGACACAAATCTCAACGCATTGAATCAGTGAGGTGCTTTGTAAATTAACAGCATTTGGTATAGAACATTACAAATGAGAAAGATACTGTACACGAGCAGCACGCCAAACTAAACTTCAAAGTACCTGTCTGTTTATGTGACAGTGTCCAAACTGAAATATTTGAAAAGAAAAGAAGGTTAAGAGAATATACAGTGAGAGACATCTGTTGGATGTCAGACAAAAAAAGATGGGACGTGTCAACCAAAAGAGAGAGACAGGTGATTACAACAAGTCAGTAATCCTCACACCTGAATGTTTTCTTCATGACAAACTGTACAGCAATCGTCTGATCAACACCTCCGGCTGAAGCTTTACCTTGTTTTAAAAAGCGTATCCTGCAATTCTGTTTAAGTTAACAACAACAACGAACACTAGAACATACATCAGTTTGATAGGAGCTGCCTAAAAATCACAGAAAACATCTTTTCAGGAATTTGGTTTTAGTGTGCTCCATGTCCCATCCACGAACATGGAGGAAGTGGGACTTGAGACCCATTCTGCAGCCAGTCAGCAGGTGGCGATCCAGGTTTTTGGTGTCCATCTTTAAAACCAGTGGACGGTGGAGATATGTTACAAAAAGCTGATTTTGTGTTCCTGGTACGAGTCATACGGTGAGTCCCAGACATGAACATGACGACTGCAGCTGGGAGGAGTTTATTTTACAAAGAACGACTGGAAGTGACCTCATAAGGAACGTGTCGTTGTTTGTGAACGCCCACCCACCACTGTGTCCCTCACAAGTCGCTCCATTGTTTCTCGGTGGAATCCTCCAGATTAGAGGCTCTCAGGCTTCTAGCTTCAGAGAGATTTACTGCTCACTAATCCATGGACCGCCCAAGGTCATGAGAAAAACATATCCTCGTGCTTTTGTTTTGAAACGCCTCTTTTTTTTTTTTACACTTTAGGGATTTAGATATCGCACGTTTATCCGAGGAGAGCCTCGCTCTGTCGTGACAGATTTCACCATGTGCAACAGAGGTACATATGACACACGTTGGTTTGTCATATTCTGGGGGTACGACCGGAAAATGAAAGCCCTAACCTTACTTCAACTAAACCCCAATGAAAAGAGAAGAAAATATAGCTCAAGCAAATGAACTGGTGTACATCCAGGCTGGTGACGGGCACAAACACCATCCTGTCTGGTGTCATAACCCTCCAGTCTGTCATGTCACTTCCAATCGGGTCAAACGCTGCAGAGAGGTCAAATGGTTACTGAGACACACTGTGGGCCCTCCATCAGTTCTCAGCTTTCTAATGTGGTTAATTGTCTTCACATCTGGACGGCACACTGTGCACTAATTGGCCAAAATAAAATTAGACTGGAAGCTCGACTTAAAATCCTTTTATTTCAATAAATCAGTTGTAGAGGAGGAACTCATCACTGTTCTGTTTTTTTAATGTGTTTTTGATTTCTGGTTTAAACTGAAACATTCCGTGTGCTGAGAGTTAAAGACTTTTTAACTGACTGAAAATGATTTAATTAGTTTCATCATCGCTCATCATTATCCTCCAGGGGGAGGATTTTATTGGTGAGACCTCTGCTGAATAATTTCAGTGGCCCCATCAGCCACAAAATAAAAAATACAGAATAATAATAATAATAATGATAATAATGATAATAATAATAATGTGTGCAGTATCTGAGCACAGCTTGATGTTTGAATGGAAAACTACAACTACAACCAGAATATGTTGGCTGATGTTTGACATTAAAATACATAAGAAAAAGTCTCCCAGTTGGATTTCAATGTGTTTGTAACTAATTGCTTTCACACTGGAGATGATGCTCAGACATGAATGACAGTTTATGTGTTCTTTTAATGACATAATCTTTCCTTTACATAAACACGTCAGTATCCAGACATTTCTGCTGTGCGTCATTTTGCAATTAAGATTTCCGATGGTCTTAATAATACATTTAATGATTTAATGATCCCAATTACAAACAGGAGCTGTGTCGCAATCTGAAAAATGAATAAACTCAACTAATTGCATCAATGAGATTTACATGAATACGATTGTAAAACCAATATGCTAAGAACAAAATAATAATTAACTTTCTATTACCAATTATCTTCCATTTTTTTAAATGTCCTTAATTGACTGAAAGGTTTGATTGTCCAGTTCATGAGTCAGAGGGTTTTTGTATTAATGGTTGAATCTTAACTGAGTGAATAAATCTTCTTACCGTTCGACCGTCTCACAATATTCTCCAAAAAAGTATTCTGAGGGGCCACAAGTCCTCTGCGGCCCCCCGCCATCCTGCCTCCGGTCTCAGTCTGCAGGTGAAGCTCTGCTGCTGCCGCTCGTCTTCATGGTCTCTCGCTGGATGTGTGGGACAGCGGCGGCTCGTCTGTCTGCTCTCCTCCGCAGATGATGCCTCCTCCTCGGCCTCCTCAGCCTCCTCAGCCCGGCGCGGTGCTGTTGGCGCCTCTTAACGCACCTCATCATCCAGGAGAGGAAAACAACGCCGGGGCGCAGCGGCGCAGGAGGGGCCGCTGCTCCGGTGCGCCACCGTCAGCCACACCTGGAGCTGCAGCGCCACCTGCTGGACCAAATAACCTTTACACTCACAATTACATCAACTTTGTTCATTTATCTCATGTTAATAGTATTAGTTTGTGTTATTGACTTGTATTTCTTATTTATTTTAGGGTACTTGTATATTTTTGTTATAGCTTTTAAAATATATTTAGATTTTTTTTAATTTCTAAGGTAAGTGTTGTTACTTTTATTTTATTAATTTAATGCCATCATTTATTTATTGATGAAACACTTTTCTAATAACTACTGTAGCCACCTGAGTTATTATGGCACATGAGCTGGAGCAAGTTTTATGCTCCTGAGATGTTCATGAATTTACAACTCATCGTTCTTATCATTGTTATTTCTGAAAATATCCATATTTTACTTTTAGTGCCTCAGACTTATGCGTAGCAGATTAAAACAAACTAAATTGACGTACGTTGCCAAACTGAGAGGAGAGAGAGTTCCCTGCAGTCAACCCAGGAGCTCTCTGGTTTCTTGAGAATGAATCGCTTACAGTCGGGCTCTTGTTTCATTAAGGAGCAGTAATACTGCGCCATGTGGATTTTGCCCTTTGATTCCTGCAGTAAAATTTTTACCCTTCCAGAGACAGCGTTTCCTCCACCAGCTCATTAATCCTGCTTAATTATTTCTGGACCCTGCAGTGTCTGTACTGACAGAACTCCAGTAACGCTGCAGGTCACAATGTACTCATCAAAATTAAACCAACAGTACAAAAGTAGTTGGTTCAAAGAAATACCTGTGGCTCGGAGCTGGTTGTCTCTCTTCTCAATTAGGTTTCACCTGTTGTCACAGGTGGACATCAGACTTCTTAATGGCTCCTATGGAGAGCAGCAGGCCTCTGTGTGCTGAGCTGAATATCACCGTTCTGTGATAAACCAGGTTTGAACCATTAACTGTAAAAGTACCGACACAGGCTATGAGTTGGACAAAGCTGAACCATGTTGCTGGAATTCCAGTTTTGCTGACACTTTAATTTAACCCCATGTTTATCATTGATAAAAGGTTGAAACCATCAGAAGCTCTCCTATAGTTGTGAGCACGTGTTTATTAATGTAATAGTCAACAGTTACTACTCTTCCTGTGGACACATTTAAGTGGAGGCTATTTTATTTGTTCATCCACAGAAGCTTACATCAACTTATATCATCCTGTGCTATATATAAACGTCTCTATACTTTATAGCCTCTGAATGATTAATTGGGCAAAAAGAAAGTGTTTCAAGTCTAAATATTGTTGAGTCAGTTTCTGCTTTCATATAACAAACACTTTGTAGCTTCTGAAAAGCAGGAGGCTATAATGATCCCCCTGGCTCTTCCTTTAGATCTGCGTTAGTGTTCAAATAACTTTAAGTGTCTGCAGCTTTCGGTCAAGCTGTAAATACATGTACAAGTTTTATAGACGGTCAAACTCCTGCACAATGTCCATCACTGAGTCACCAGTTAGCTGCTGTCAACACAGCTCTTTCGTCCCAATTAGTAAAGCATCACTTTATCACAGCAGGTCCACCTCAACCCAGAAAAGGAGTGGGATCATTTCTATGAAGCTTTTTTTACTCATTCTAACTTCAAAGGCTGAAGAAAAGGATTAAACTCTTAAGTCTCAGATTTATTTCGCCGCACTGACAGTCTCAACTGTTTAATACACAATTAAGTGAAATAGAATGTAGGATTAACCCTGTGTGAAACATTTTGCCAAAAACTCCCCTTCCACTTTATATAGTTCCTCTATGATTTACCTCAGGGGAAACACACTTCAGTAGCAAATATATAAAATCACAGATGTTAGAACCAGCCTGAAGCCTGAATTTCTCAACTTGAAACTGTATATTGTTAATTAGCTCAAAGGACCCACAGATCAGCTATAGAGCCGATTATCTAAAGCTGCTTTCAGACATGCACTGACATTTTCTGGAGGGGCTGTATGTGAGAGCACAAATGCCTAAGTCAGTTGCTGCAGGATTTTTCCTGCCAGCTAGTGACATGTCCACAAAATGCTTCAGTGACCCCACGAGAAAATACAGTAAGAACTCGCCTGAATGTTCGCGTCTGAACAGAACAATCTCCTGCTGCGTCTTTTATATGTGACGGACAAACTCCGTAGAAATGATCCAATTTTCTGGGAAGTTTTCAGAGTTCATGTCTGAAACAGCTTGAGAAAGCTGATCTGAATGTGGAGGAATCACAGTCCTGCTGCAGAGTGGATTCAGTTTGTTCCAACAGACAAACCACAAACTGTTTTGAGGATTAGTTTTATGGAGACAGAGTTAAAACAGGCTGTTGAAGTATTGACACATTTTCATGGCAGCTGTTCAGCCGACATTCTGAGTCCCCTTCACATTGATAACAAAGCAGCGCTCTCCCTCACACATTAACATGTTGTGTTGTCACATAAAGACAGTCTTTGTGCGTAGTTTCATTGTTTGCATTAACTCGACCACGTCTTGGTGATGTTGAGATGACTCAGGTGATCCGTTATGTGCTTGTGTTCTGGGAAATTGGCGAATTTGGACTCCTTGATCTTGAGCCAGCTCTTGGCTCTGCGCTCGGCGGCGTTTCCGTACTCCTGCTCTGAAGTCATGTACGGCCGGCTGATCCAGTATTCGTTCTCAGCCTCGATCTCCAGCCGCTTCAGCGTGTTGCGTTGCATCTGCCACGTGATCTGCCGTGGACGCCGGTACTTTCCGATCCACTGCTTCCCGGGGATGCCTTTCCGCAGCAGGGTGAGGGTGAGGAACATGGTGGCCGACTATTTCTGAAAAATAGTAAATCAGAGAGATAGAGATCAGTGATTGCTGTAATGACCCTAAATGAACAGTACCACTTTTCATTTAGGGTTGGGCCATATGGATACAAATATATTCAAGATAAAAGAAATTCCCATTGGTCGATATCAATAATTACATTAAATGTCACATTATTAGTTCAAGTTTAAAGAAATAGTTTTGCTTTGGATGAATATTGTGGTTTTTAATTCATTTTCTCATCCAACACATTCCACTGCACCGTTGTTGATCATGATTTACTAACAAATAAACTGGACTGAACTTATCACCGGAGGTTCATCAACTTTCTTATTGTTTACCTTTGGAACTGTGTTGAGTCACGGGATGTAAAACTTTACAGCCATACATGACCATGATATCACATCAGCCATCTCATCCTATCATGGTTAAGTGGGTGACTGCATTCGAACTCAAGTGTGTAACAGTAAAAACTGTTTATAGCAGCTGCAATCTATACTGTATGACCACATGCATGTGTCACCTTTATTACACAGTACTCAGACTGTGGACATTCCCTTGCTGGAGGTGCTTTGATATGTTTTTCAGGACTTTCATGGCTTCTGCTTCGAAGACATAAATCAGCTTCATTTTCAGATTTTCAGCGAGTCGCTAAGAAGAGCATTGAAGATTCACAAAGAGTAAACTGTAACTTGATTGTACCTGTAACTGATCTGTCAAACAACTGAATTAAGATCTTGGAAACCAATGGAGTTCTGAGACTGTAAAAGTTGAAAGGTTCCCAAACTTTCCACTTCATAAATAGATCAAATACGTTATTTGCCTCGGGGGTGCTCATAGTTTTGCAGACAATTGGGAGATTAGTCAAATAAAAATTAATTTTCAGGCCGACAAACATTTGCTGGATCCAGCTTCAATAATACGATGACTTAGTTTTTCTTGATCTTACTGTGTCGTAACTTTAATATTCTTGTATCTTATATCTTTGAAAAAATCTAAAATCTAATGTCCTCACCTGGTGATGTAGGCTTCTCTGTTTATGATCATTTAGCAGCATGCACGTGTGGATCTGAGTGTTTGCTTGGATACTTGTATGTAATGTGTGTTCTCATTTTTCTAATTTAGCTCCAGAAAACATCTGGATTGATGTCATGAGTTTAACCGAATTAAAAAAATCCAGAAAATAAGTGGCAGCACAAGTTTGGGACCCAGATTATTGGTCTACGGACTCAAACAACAATAATGATGATAACAACAATAACAATAGTAGAACAACATGAAGGTTCAACAAGATAGAAGCTTATAAAATGTCGATAGCGTGAATAAAACCGTTCGTGTAAACATTCAGTCTTTATCGACGTATGTCCTCCCACGTGTTCATGACTTTACTTGAGGTGAAAGTTGCAGCCAAAGTTTAAATTTGACCCAAATGTAAAATGACATTGATGAAACGTGTGTACGCGGTGCGCTAAAGCTAGCTTAGCTTTGGGCTAACGCTGCAGACCAAGGGCAGCTCAAAGGGAGAATCCAGTTTCTGTCGTCGTTCAAATAAAACGACGCGACACGTTTTACTTCCTCACCTGCTCTTCTTCCTGCGACAGACGAGGATCGGTTTCAAGCGACGGGACGAAGAAACGAGAAGAAACGAAAGGTTTTAAAACACGAAACTGTGGAAAATGTGTCAAACAGCGGTGAACTACACGACCACTTCCGGGTTAACTACGGAGCGGGAGGAGGCTCAAATGTGTTCAGATCCGTTCACTGGTTTATTTTGTGATATTCATTTAATTTTTAATTAAAATAAATAGTGTTCATGAGAATCCTTTCACAGAAACGCTGCACGAATCCTAAAATTAAGTAATTAACAATTTAACAATAATTAATTGTAATTATTGTTGACGAAAGTCTTAAAAAAAAGATTAATATCAGTGTATATCGAATAAATATAGCATTACATAACCCCCCACCCCATTCCCCATTTCTACATTTTGTAATTGTTTTTTTTACTAATGTGACTTTGTTGTGTGCTTTGTATTCTGGGAAACACAAAAATAGATAAATAAATACACAAACTATTTTAAAGAAACTGGGGAAATGGATGTGGATGCAGCATTTCTATAAAAAATGTTCGTGTTTTTCTAGAGAATCCTCTTGTTTTGAGTCGAGTCTGGTTATCTTTATATAAGACAACCGATAGTTTATCAGAACATGCATCCGGTGCATGATCTATGTGAAAGGTCACCAGCCACCTCCTCACTTCTGCTCCTTTGTGTGTTTTATAAACACCAGTCATTGGATTCACTGGAGCTCCTCCCCCCTGGGCCTGGATTTAAGAGGTTACATTAGTTCTCAATACGCTTCCTCCTTCCTCTCTCAGTTTGTGCTCGGCTCTGCTTCCGCGCGGTCAAGATGGTTTTCCTCCTCACGTTGTTTTCAGCCACCACCTGGACTCTGCTGGTTCTGTGTGCCACCCTCCTGTTTCTGTGAGTTGTCTCTGGATCAGACTGGAGAGAGTCAAGCTGCCTTTATTCACTGAGTTGTGTGAAGTTGTTCTATCATTGATCTTGTTACTGTAACATGCACAACTCTTTCTGTTTTTGTATTGCAGCTATTCCATTTGGCCTTACAGGTTTTTTAAAAAGCTGGGAATCTCCGGACCACGGCCTCTGCCTATAATGGGGACATTGATGTACTTAAGAAAGGTATCACACAAACCCACATTGTAAGGAATATACTGTATATGATACTGACAGAAAGTGATCACAGTGTTTGTTATATGTACATTCAATGATGATGACCCTGTTTAACTAAAACACAATTCAGAAGTCTCAGTATCCTGACCCTCACTGCTCAACCTATCACTACACACCATGATTGTAGCTTTTTAAAGGTTGTCAACACATTAACTTTCATTTTCCTCACAGGGTTTTTATGCTTTTGACCGTGAATGCCAGGCAAAGTACGGAGATGTGTGGGGGTGAGTTATTGCTTCATCTTTCAACTTGCACAGACTGAAAGGCAGCGGATGAGATGATTAATAGGACAGGGAAGAAGAACTTTGACGGGCTGCTGGGGACATTATTTATATTACATATTCTTGAAATCTGTTTTTTCCCCTTATTACTCCATTGTGTAAAACTAAGTCATGCAAGTGTAACACAAATGGAATCTGCTTATCAGTGCCTCTTGTATGAGTGTCTATGTAAATGTATGATCTCTCTTATTGCAAAATGATCATCTGTAAAGAAACTAGATGGACAGATAAACACTTTCATTGATCCTAAGGGAAATTTAGGGAATTTTTAGGAACTAAAGACCGATAAATGTAATAAAATAATTTTAAAAAATAGATGAAAATTTAATTGTACAGGAGTAGAAATTTAGTATAAATGGCATGATCGTCACATGTTCAAATATGTTTTTATTTTCAGTAAATGCTCATTTTATATCTCATCATAAAGATAGTATAAGATGAAGAAAATACTTTTTGAAATAATGTGACACTAGAAGAAGCTTGCTAATCCATATATATAAAAGAGAAAAGTATAATGCAAATAATTAATAAGTTATTATAATCACTCTTGTTGTTTTTGTGCAGGTTGTATGAGGGACGCTTACCAGTTTTAATGGTGTCAGACCCGGACATGCTTAAAAGTGTGATGGTGAAGGAGTGCTACTCTGTGTTCACCAACCGCAGGGTAAGAGACTCACCTGGCTGCATGTGACTGAGTCATTTTAAACTCAGCATATTATCACACAGTGTCATCAGCACTGATGTAATAATAACTGTAGATAAGTGAGAAGACCACGTGTCTGTGATGCAAGAGCCTCTGGTTGAGGCAGAATTCAAAGAAATCTATTCAAAGTCAAAAAGTACAAATCAAAGCGACTACTGAAATGAAGAAATTTAAATTGAGCAGATAATGTGTGGTGAACCACCTCACCTTTGTAAATACTCTGCATTTACCCAAGTTTATGCTGATTTATATGGCGTGTGGTCTCATTAGAACCACAATAAATATGTCGTCGCACTTTCAAGATGGAAGGAAAAACGTTGTATGGTCAGCGTAGGAGAAAGGTTGGAATCTAAACATTCAGAGTTTCCTCTTGTTCTTAGGATACTTTTTTTGATGGACCGATGGATGACGCGATTACAGCAGTGAAAGATGAAAGGTGGAAACGGATTCGGAGCACGTTATCTCCCTGTTTCACCAGCGGACGACTGAAAATGGTCAGTATCAAATCTGAGCTCACTGACCACGTCTACTTTCTTTTAACTACGTCTGCAGTACGTGTCTATACTGTGTGTATCTGTCTGCTGTACACACTGTACACTCTCTGAGAGAAGTATTTACACCTCTTTGTCAACATTGCAAACAGTGGAAAGTACCTTCAAACAAATACTGAACTTAAAGGAACACAAACTTTTCAGTCTGATGGTTCAGAATAGTGCCACTTTCTTTTCTATTCTATTTGAAGGTAATAATAAGAGTTACAATAAGGTTATTGAGTGTTGCTGTAACAATCAAGTATAATAATATGTAATAATAAGTCAGTCACAGGTCAGAGTCTTGTGATAAACAGTAAAATGTGATTGATTGACAAAGGGAAGAATAGGTTTTCTAAATATTTCCTAAATAAAGGACTCTTACATGAGTACTTTTTTACATTGTGGTATTGATACTTTGGTTTGAGTAAAATGATATAAGTACTTGTTTCCCCACTGAACATGATGCAACCTTTCTTTCTTGTAAGATCTTTCCCATCATTGCTCGCTATGCAGACCGGCTCGTTGAGAAACTAGGAGAAAAACACGAGGATGAAATGGTCGATGTCAAACAGTACGTTATAATTCTGTCACTCTAGGCATCGTGAAGTCAATGAACATGAGAGTAATGAATCCACGTCCCATCTTACGAATGAAAACAACCTCTCCTTTCCCTCTGACGCAGACTGGTGGCACCTTACAGCTTAGACGTCGTGACCAGCGCATCGTTCAGCGTTGAGGCCGACTCCCAGAACAACCCAGACGACCCACTTATCGTTCACCTCAAGAAAATTCTGAACTTCAGACTGTGGCCGCTGGCTATAATATGTAAGTCCTCCTTCCACGTCTGGTACGTGTTTGGCATCATTTGATCGATACTCTGGTGAACAGCGCTTTGTCGTCCTTTCAGTGATATTTGGTGTTCGTGTGTTTAAACTGCTGAAGATCGAGGTGATGCCCAGTCTCAGCTTGGATTATTTCTACAACATCATCAAGAGATTTAAAGAGCAGCACCATGCAGACGACTCCGTGAGTATTTGGTCTGTCCCAGTGAATTCACACATTTTATAACTAATGACATGTTCACGATTCAGACAGGAGTTTTATACATATTTCAGAAGTATTTTTTTTTTAAATGCTTTCCACGTTTGTTTCTGGTTTAGATGTATCAACACTTATGGATTCAACAATAAGCTGCAGTTTACCATTGACAGAGCCAAGCTTGCTGTTTACTTCCAGTCTTTATGCTAAGCTAAACTTAAACCAACCAGTGGACATTCAGCTCCTAATCCATCCCCTCTCTCTAAAATGTTAAACTGCTCCTTTAAACCCTCTGAAATTTCTTATTATCCACTTATTTCAACAATATTTCTGCCGACGTTGAGATTTTCTCTGTGCTGGTCTAGATTCGAGCCGACTTCCTGCACGTGATGCTTCAGAGCGAGATTCCAGATGCGGAGATACAGAACGAGGAACAGCAGCCGAGCAAAGGTGCGTTTTCTCCACAGAGGTGAATCACAACAGTCGAGGTGACGCAGAGATTCTTTTGTTTTTGGTCTTGTGAACGCAACATCTCAGGAACACCTTGTGGGGATTTCTTCAAATTTGGCACAAATGTTCGGTTGGACTCAAGGATGAACTCATTAGAATTTAGTGATCCAAGGTCAAAGGTCAAGGTCACAGTAGCCTGATTTAACATGTTTTCCGCCTCTTGAATATGACCTCTTAAGTCTGCCTTAAGGGAATTTCTTCAGTCAAACTTCTGATCAGTTGTCACTTGGACTCAAAGATAAACTGATTCGATTTCAGAGGTCAAAGGTCATGAAGGCAAACAACTGCAGGGGGGAATTCTAGTGAAATGGGTTTCATGTTTTAAATGTTTCATTGGATTGTTGTACACATTCTGCTTTGTTTTGTTGTAGGTCTGACTGAACACGAGATCCTTTCTCAGGCCTTGATTTTCATCTTCGGAGGCTATGAGACCACCAGCAGCACCCTTTCATTCCTGTTTTACAATCTGGCAACCAACCCTAACGCGATGCGGATCCTGCAGGAAGAGATCGATGCCAGCATACCGAGAGATGTACAGTAATTCATCGGTCTTATATTGTTCTGTGACTTTCATTTTCATTTTTTATAATGAAAGCTGGTATCTTTTGCTGGTATTTCACCTCTAGGCTCCAGTTTCGTATGACGACCTGCTGCGTCTGCAGTACCTGGACCAGGTGATTTCTGAGTCGCTGCGCTTGCTTCCCACTGCGCCTCGGCTCGAGCGGATGTGCAAAAAAACAGTCCAGCTCCACGGCATCACCATCCTGGAAGGAACGCTCATTGGGATTCCTGTGTACTTGTTACACAAGGATCCACGTTTCTGGAACTCACCAGAGCTTTTCAGACCAGAGAGGTAAACATTCATTCTTTACACGATTAATAAGGAGGGGTAAGATCCCCCGCTTTCTTCTTGACTGTGAAAACTGCAGATGATCAATTTTTCAGTTTGAGTTCATCTAGTGTGTGTGTGTGTGTGTGTGTGTGTGTGTGTGTGTGTGTGTGTGTGTGTCTGTAGGTTCAGTCCCGACAGCGGGGAGGAGGTGAACCCGTACGTGTACATGCCGTTCGGGCTTGGGCCTCGTAACTGCATTGGGATGCGCTACGCTCTCCTCGTCATGAAAATGGTTGTTGTGCGTCTCCTGCAGGATTACACCATAGAAACATGCAGAGACACTGTGGTAAGAATAACAGCAACACACACACACACAGACACACACACGCACACACACACACACACACACACACACACACACACAGACAGACAGACACACACACACACACACACACACACACACAGACACACACTAACTTTCATGTTCACTCAGACTCACTCTCCTCAGCTGATCTAACATCCATTTCTCTTTTTAGATTCCTTTAGAGCTCAACTGGAAGTTTCAGCCGGTGGTGCCAATAAAACTCAAGTTTGTTCCCAGAAGACATTAGTCAGAAGAAGAAATTCTGTCAAAGTCAATATTATGTACATATCACTTTTCTATAAATAGTCTCAAATGTTTCATCTTTATGTCTTAATTTTTCGGAAGAAAATAGAACATTTATCTTTTATTTTTATGACTATACATGAATTTAACTATCTTAGTTAAAAAAATTGTAATGGACAGTTAAACCTACCAGCGTCATTCTTATAAAACCGCTTTAATATTTTAAGGGGAACATGAGAGAATGTAAAATAACCTGATCCAAACATAAAAATACTTTATAGCACCATCTTTGCTGTCTCCTTTTTTCAAGGTTCCTGTTTTTAAAGTCACTTTAGCACAGTGTGTGGATGATGCAGACGTCTCTCACTTTATTAGCTTCATGCTCTGATATAATTACAACAATCAGATACATTTAAACTTCCACTAATGACACCATGTTAAATAATTGAGGCCCGTTGTGTTACATAATTGTGTTTGTCTTGATTTGATTATTGTTTATTCTGGGTAGGATCTTATTCTGGTTGAAGTAATCGGTAAATCCTGTTTATATGTCTGTGTCTCATTCAGTCTTAATATGGTTAACGTCTGAATATTTGTGTCCATGTGAACATAGTCGCTGACGTCTTTAGCTGCATCATTGATGAGGATTTGTCTCCATCTAGTGACGTACACTCAAAGCACTGACTAAAGTACCTGTAGGATATGAAACATTTTAAATACCCGGATAAAAACAAATACAATCCACTTTTACACTTCCACACCAATTAAAGAGGTGCTGCTACACACTACAGTTGATAAATGAATCTGGAAAAACTGGTGCAGCACTCAGTTCTTTTACTGCTAACAGCTTCAGTTTTAGATTTTAAATAAAAACAGTTTGGAATTCCACGTTAAAGTCAAAGATCATAACCAGAAGTCATGTATAAAAACAGTGATGACACAATGAAAGTCACAGATCGTCTCTTTAATAACTTTCAAACAAGAGTATAAATCTGTTCTGAAGTCTCTGTGACAGTTTACCATCAAACAGCTGAAGTCATTTTTTATTGTGGGGATTAAATGACTGAGGTTTCCTCATTTACATTCATAGCTCACACATGTGGTGCAATCAGAACAATTTGACAGGACATTTACTATTATTATTAAAACTACTACACAAAGAATGAGGGATTCCATTCAAAATAAGAAATCTGTGATTAAGTGGCTTTAGAGAAAAACTGAGGAAGGACAGAAGGTGATTAATTGTGTGTTAAATGTTGTAATCTGAACTTTCCAGTTTTATTTATCAGCATTTTGAAATGAAAGGTTACACATGTTTAAACGGTGTTTGATGAGATACTGTTTATCAGTCAATTAAAGATCAACACATTATGTGACGCTATGAAGGTTAAAGGAAAAACCTCAGTGTCTGTGTGAAGCAGACAAGTAACAGTACAAATGACTTCCAGCAGATGGCGCCGGCATGAGCAGTACAAGTGAGTGAGTCAGTCTGTGTCAGTGCATTAAAAATAAAGTTTTCATATTCAGATTTACAAAGAAACATTCAAAATGAATCTCGTAGATCGAGTGGATTAGAAGAATGTGCTGGTTTTAATAAAAATGTTGTTTTACAGTGCGTCCTGCTTAAACACTGATTCTGTTTGGTTTGTTTATCAGAAAATAAACGTCCTGAAATCTGTCGCACACTGCATCAAAATAATGTAACTGAAAATATCCTGAATTCAGGTCAGAGGACAAAATGTTAAAAGAAATTCAATCGGTTGAAGAAAAAGAAATAACTTTGAAACGCTGCTACGGTTGGGAAGAGAATGTGTGAGATATGGAGAAGTGTGGCCAAGTTGACAGGTTGTTGATGTCATAGACTGTTTATAAAGTTGGACGGACTCCGTAAAAGTGAAGCCAAAGTGCCAAAACTGCCCCCTGGTGGCTTTATGCAGTACAGGTCATAAACCCCTCCTCTGCCATGTTATTGGAAGATGGATTATTTCATTTTAGGTAGTTCTTATCACACTGGTTTGGTTTTAATTAGTTATTTGAGCATTAAATGACTGACTTCAAATGACGTGATCGAGTTGTGTGCAGGATATTTTGGCTTCACTTCTGGTTAGTGGTGGAAAGTGGAGATGCGTCGTCCATCTTAATACGCAGTCGATGGTTGAAACAAACCAGTTATAATACACTTGTGCACATTCACGCACAGACAGAAAACCAAGAGCAGCACAGGCTCAGATACAAACATCTGGGCTGTAAATGAAAGCTTTTGTTTGTGTTTCTTAATCAAAGAGGAGAGTATAAAAAACTGCACCGCCACAGTGCCACGTTCTTCAAAAGCTCTATGGAGTGACTACTGCATTAGAAAAAGCAACGACAACGCAAACGTAGAGCCGTGGGATAAAAAAGTTTAAAGGAATATATTACAAAGCCTTTTGGAGTCCTGAGTTTATCAAACATAAACAAAACAGACTAAAAGGCCAGAGTCCATAAAATATAATTGAAATACAATAAAGGATTTAAACAAATAAATGGTTCCTGCTTGTCGTCCGGTCCTCAGACGTCCAGGAAAACAAGTAGATCAACTGAGAAGTATGTTTGACACCTGTTTGGGACGACACACATTATGCAGCATACGTGGTGTCAACAGCATATATAGAGTTTTAAATGAGGTGCTCGTCTTTTTGGGAAAGCAGCATTGTCTTTAGATAAGAGTGACACAATGATTTCAATCAGTTTTTCCAACATAAGATTTAAGTATAATCCTTTAAAATAAAAGCTTAAAATGTGTTTGTGATGTTTTAAATTAACAACAGTGTGCGACATCCCTAAACGGACACAGATGTGAGTCGTCAGTTTAAGACACACGTCCCGACTTTGACGACATCGTGGCCGCCAAGTTACTCGAGTGAAGACGAAACACGTTGCTTCACACTTACAGATGATAAACACGCTGACGACCGGGAGCGGTCCAGTTAGACCACAGTAGTCCTCTACTGGTGGCCACTGGGAAGCTTGTAGGTTAAGTACCTTGCTGAAAGGCACCTTGGCAGTTGCTACTAAGAAAGAATTCACTATTTTATTTAGCAGAACTCAGAACCTCCTAGGTTATAAAAAACCTTTTAACCTCTCAGTCACTGCCCTGCAAACATAATAATCGACGTGATCACATCATTGGTGAAGAAATTACCGGTTATTAGTTCAAAGGCTGATACAGGTTTGAAAATTGTGTCATTAAAGGTTCCTGAACTTGAACCAATCTCAGGTGTGATAGGGATGTTTCTCCCATTTAGATTCTGGTCCTGGATCAGTTTATCTGTGTAAATTGAGGCTGATTGTAGTTCTTGTTTAAGTCTCTCCAGCTTTCTGTGATAGAAGAAGAAGCCTGAGGTCCTGACGCTCGCACAGTATTCTGAGGAAATGCTTTCAAAATTTTACAAACCAAATATTATAGAATATATTGACCAGCCACAGTCAAATTATACCAGCGCTCGACGAGAGGTGAATTTGATGTTTATTGCATGTTTGACTTGATTGACAGCTCTCTCTGGCTCCTCCTACTTAGCTCATAGCAGTTAAGTCGTTTTTTCTAAATGAAATATGTAAAATTGGCTCCAGACATTTTGTGGACTTTGCCTTTCACATATGAAACACACAGCAGGGATTGCCGTGTCAGACGTGTTCACAACAACAGGAAATTGTCCCGAACATTCACATGAGGGGTGGCGGCTGGGTAGAGCACGCAGGACGTGACGTATAACTCCCAATCCAGAAAATCACATGTTTTGGTTTTGGCTTACGGCCCTCACTATCACAAGCTCTCCAATGTCATTGTCTTTTGAAGTTGGCATCTTCTGCGTCTCCTCTTTTCATCCAGAGATATTTGTATTCTTCCACTTTCATACCCCACGCTTATTAGAAATGTCATCAATGACATTTACCTGTTCTCACATCGGCACCCTCGGACATTTTTCAGACGTTTTACTGTGGGGCTTGCAGGCGAATGTCCGGATCAACTGACATTTGCATTCTTACATACAGCACCTCCTGAAAATGTCAGCACGTGTCTAAAAGCAGCTTTAGATTATTCAGCTGCAAACAACTTAAAAACTAGACATGAGTAGTATGTGTTCTACCATGTCAGCCTTTCAGAGTTCCAGTTTGACAGTATTCTCTCTTTCTGAGTTTAGCACCATCCATTAAATAACTGCTGGTAAAATCTACATGTGGCTGGTAAATCTTCTTAAATTACGAAACACTTTGGTGGAGAAAAAAAACAGCCCTGCTTCTGGGCGGTCTGGGCAGATAAGATAAGAAATAGTGAATTTTGGAGGGGATGTTGTCAGCTGTTGTCAGCCGTGTTCACTGGGAGGTGATCCAGCCTTTGTCAGCAGCCAGATCTCCTTCCCCCTGCGAGGAGAAACTATTCCAGTGCTCTGGATCATTGCAGGGATTTGGCTGACGTTCTTACCCAGAGCAGGGAGCGGTTCAGGTTCTGCTCAAAGACGGTCCTGACAGACTGTAGCTGGACTCATCAGCTATTCTGTTTCCTGACCACAAGTCCAGCCCTGTGTTTCCCAGCAGGCTTTGCAGGTTCTACCGGCGGGGCTGGTAGCGGGAGTGACGAGGCAAGGAGGTGGGGCTGGAGGAAGAGGAGGGCGACATGGAGGCCAGCGAGGCGGTGGCGGCGGCGTCCTCAGCCTCCTCCAGCTCTCCTGCTCCGTGGAGCTCCTGGCTGACGCTGGACTGTAAGGCAGCCGGGGTCAGCCACTCTTTGGGCAGGCAGGTCTGGAGGAAGGGCACGCAGGAGCTGAAGTAGGCCAGACGGTTGACCCAGCGAGGGATCTCCCGGCCACACAGGATCTGAGGAGGGGAGAAGAGCAAAACATTTCATAAAATAGTTGATAAAACAGCTCTGGTGCTGTGACAATGAGCTTTGGAAAGCGACGCCACGTTGTTCATGTATGATAAGAAAGAAGTCGTACAATGAGACTTGTTGAAGTAAATTCGTAGCATATCTTAATAAAGGACCAACATGTGGGAACCCCCAGCACCGGTGTAGAATTTGGTTAATAAGAAACTTTATAATCAATACACTCACCATTAGGGCATTTTTGTGTTACACTTGAGTCTGCATTCATGTTAAAATAAACTTGAGCATCATTTGTCTTGATTTCAATGTGAAGTCCATGAATCAATCTTCACTTTTCTTTGTTCACTAAACCAGAACAAACACTTGTTACTTCCTCCTGGTCTGTTAATGTTTTCTAAGTCAGAAGTCGTCTGTGGACATAATCAGTCTTTCAGAGTTCAGCTGCGATTTCAGCGGAAGAAAAAAAAATCTGGAACCATGCATGTGTAACGTGAAAATACTTCCTGCCATTCTCTTGTGAAGTGACCCCAGTGAAAAAATTTTCAAACCTCCAGGGAATGATGTGACATTTCCTGACTTTCTGTGCCTTAAAGGAACAAACAGTGGCAACCCAGCGTTAGTCATTTCAAGGGACCAGCAGCTTGTACATGAGTTGGAGGAGGAGATGGTTGGAGGATTGGATTTCTCTCTAACCTCCTGCCCTTAGCAGACTAACACTGTCATTGTGAGGGCTTATTATCACCACTTTGCTCTGTCAGTGCTATTACAACATCTTGGGACAAGTGGTTTCCCAGAAACTCTGGGTAAATGCACTTTAATCACAACATCATCAAAGATGCTGACTGGCTTTCTTAAAAGCCACATGTGAGACGGAGACAGTGGGTTTTCTTAAAAACCACAAAAACGTCTCGTAGAGCCGATGATTTTACATGTTGTGTCCCATCACAAGCAGCCTACAGATGATTGTATCCTATGTTAATGCTGTAGCCACTGCTCTGTGTCAGCCAGCTGAAAACAGATTCCTCACCTCCTTCAGAGATGAGAGTGATGTGACAGAAAGAAATCAAAGCAAATTACTTTGATCTCATGAAGTCAGATGAGCACAGCCACAGCTCGGAGGACAAATCCTTAAATGTACCAGAGCTCTAGTTGATCCACACAAATCACCTGGTCTAGCTTTTGGCTTTAGCTGCAGGACTCACAGCGGCTTCGTGTTTTAAGAAATACCCTTTTACATTCACTAAGTTTCAAATCACCAGCATGAGCTGTTCACCGCAGATTCTCAGTTTTTTTTTTAAGCAGACACTGAGCATGACTCTGGATAAAAATAACTCAGACTAGGTGGCAAGAGAAGATGAAGAGAGAAGGCAAGACAAGAGGCATAAATCGGTTATAGTTGAGGACATGTGACCCTCACAACCTTCAATACACAACATAAACAACAGAAAACTGTCCCTCTGAAAGTATTTTTTTATCTTTGCTGAACTTTCAGGACACGATTCTTGTGCAGTGGCATCATCCATATAATCAACTTCCATAACGAGACAGAACCAGGGTGTTAACAGGGAGCAGTGTGTTGATTCGCGTTTCAGAAAGACTGACGACAGAGTCATGCACGTCACACATTCTCTCTGCACAATTAATCATCACACTTGATATTTCAAAGCTGCAACAACCAAACTACGTGTCCAATCCTATTCATCTCCTCTTTAAGAAAATCATACATGTTAATGAGAGCAAACATGAAAATTAAATCCTGCAGGCAAAACTGCCTCCCGCTGCTAAACTGGGTTTCTTTATATATTTCTGTTTATATGATATCACAAGTTTAAACTGTGCATTTCTCTGTGAAAGTATCTTCAGATGTCGTGTTTACTGTGTGCGAATATTGTAAGTGTGTGTGTGTGTGTGTGTGTGTGTGTCAGCTGACTCTGCGTGTCTGGGCTTGTATCAGTGTCCTAATCCCCATCTCAGTGCTAGATGCTATGTGTAAGACTTCCTGCTCATTAGTCATACAAAGATAAGCTGCTCGTTAGTATGCACGCTCACACACGCGCACACACACAGATATGTGTAGCAAGGGTTACACCTTATCTGACTAGCATGTTGGGGATTTTTGGACCTCATGTCAGGTAAGTTCAGTTGAGCTTGTTGAAAACAAGTGTGTGTGTGTAAGTACACTTACCTCTGAAAGTGCCGAGGAGAAGTGGTTGCAGTTCTTGTGCATGAGGTGGTAGGCGTTGCCTCTGTACTCCTTCCCCATCTCCTCCACGATTCGCTCCACATCCTCCTCTGTGAAGTCTGTGCTGCCGAGGACTATGGCTTCTCTGCAGGAACAAGTGTGAGCATTATTACTCACTCACGTCCATCTCTACACTGTTTCATACATGGAATACATATACATACAAGTGTTTGCCTCTTTCCTGCGTTGCCTTACAGTTTCGCATCACAAGTTTTGTTATCAAGAAGGAATGAATAATATTAGTTTAGTCTATATTCATACGATATACAAAAATGTTAACATCTGAAAATTAATAGTAATAATAAGCAGTTGATCTGCTTGGTCTCTTTAAGGAGGGAAACATATTGTGAATAATTGTTTTTCACTGGTATCAAACCAATATGATGGATTTCAGCCTGAGAGAGAAACCTGGACATGGTGGCATTTGTCCCGGATGATCCATACTTATGGTCCAGTGGCCTGCATGGAGACAGCAAGTGTGTCTGAGCACCATGTCTGTGGGCGTGTGGGCGTGTGTGTGTCAGATCAACTAGAGCAGAAGTAATACACAGCAGCACAGTTGCTCTGGGTAGACACAGACACACAAACCCTTGGTTGATAATGGGAACACAAAATCATATTGAACTGACTGTCTCAGCACCGAAAATTCACTTAGTTCAACTACAGTAAAACACTGTACTCATGTTTACGAGCACTTTTTTTTCCCTCTGAAACCCACACGGGTTTCACAGGTTTCATAACATCGTGCTGCCTTTTCTTTTCCATCCCATTTACTAACATCTTTTAATAAGCTTGAGCTCCAATGATTTTTTTTTTTTTTTTAATAACTGAATACATTTATGAGTAATTTTTAATGCAAAATGCGAAATATTTGCTGTTTCCAGCCGTTCAGGTCTGAAGAGTTAATGGTTGAATAAAATAAGACATCTGATGACGTCGCCTAGGTCTGCGGAAAATTACAAAAGGTGTTTAATATGCAATAAATTGCTAAAGAAATGAATCGTAACCTAGCGCTCTATTAATAAACTACTGACTAATACCAACACCACAAGCCTGCAGAGCTTAATCACATGCTTTCTGAAATCATGAACATTTTGTTGCAGGGTGCATTGGAGTGAATTACATGTATTAATGTTCATATTCAAAATCTGTAAACTGAATGGGATTCTGTGCAGCTGTTTCTATCCCAGTGTCTCTTTTGCGTTCAGTATCACAAGGAAAGTGATGACAAATTGACACTTTATTTATGCTCTGTCTCTTCTGTTCTCACTCTCAGTCCAAGACAAATCAGCTGCCTCACCAAATGAGGAAAACAGTGTGAAATTTAAAAAAAAATGTCTGTCACATGCTCTCTCTCTCTCTCTCTCTCTCTCTCCCTCTCTCTCTCCCTCCCTCTCCCTAACCCTAACTCATTAGAAGACACATTAACTGACTGGGTGAACCCAGAAGCTCTGGAATCTCTGACTAATTAAATATTCTCTCACACAGTGACTGTTGGATGACGATTGTTTGACTCACTGGTCACGTTTAGTTCAGTGACGGCGATTCCATTAAAATGTTCATCAAATGTGGAGCTGAGGTGATTTACAGACGGTTCAGTTTACCTGTCAGAGTGTGATTCAATAGAACTCAATGCAACTACATCAACTTTAGTGACCTTGGTACTGTAAATACATGACAACATGCAGCAGGTCAGTTCTTATCCCAACCTTTTATTTTGGAAACATAAAAGGAAGATAAAGAAGAAATCTGTGTTCCCAGGAGACACCATCTGATCTATGCTGATTATGAACAAAGGGGTTTCTTGTTTTCACGACATTAACATCATCTCACTGGTGAAGACATCGTCTCTGTGTTGTCTCTGTGTTCAAATGGTCTGTGTACACTCTCGAGACTCCAGGTACTGTTTGTAGTCTTTGTCCACAGTGAAATGCATGAACAACACAAAAGCAGCTAAGATGTCTACTGATGAAATGAACATGAAAACAGGTTCATGGCATAAGCTTCGATGTATTGCAGGCTAAACCGAAAGTGACAAAACTGTCTTCTAAACTTTAGTACCACAGATCTCTCAGCAACACACAGAGACTTTCAACACTTTCACCACACATCAAATACCTCAAACTTACTTGAACTTGAAGGTGTCGCCCAGTTCAGTGGCATCGCCTGGTGTAATCTCAAAGATCCCTGAGAATGGGTACGGGTGTCCACCATAGGCAAACTCTAAACACACACAACACAAAAACACACATTTAAGCACATTACCTTCAACAAAAAGTTCCTTCTTTGAGCAGACACAGTTTTATATTGTGAGTGTAAAAGCATCTTCTCAGAGGACTAATCATAAGTAGTTGACCTGATATGTGTTGGTGTCACACATCTGCGTAATCTTACCTCTTCCATAGATCTCAATCCCTGAGTGAAACACTCCGATGCCCAGAGAGCTGGTGAACTCATTGATCCAGTACTGAGACAGAAAGAGACAGAATTAATATATTATTTTATGAGAAAAAGTCCAAATAACCCAAAATATTTGACATATTACAAAGTCGCTGCAAATGCCTCAATGCAAACTTCAGTGTTGAATGTGTCGTTGTACCTCAATGTTTTTTCATCGTCATGTATCAAATAAAAACATAATTCAGCAGAGCAGAAACACATAAAATCCCGTCAGGATTCATGAGAAGAATCGTCTACATAGACTTAATACAGATCCACAAACTGAATTAACCTCAACAGCTTATTGTTTAACGACAGCCGGCGTCTCCCTGACACTCGACCACTCTGCGATTGCGGCTGCTTGAAATAAGATCTGAGAGCCTCTGGTGTTTACACAAGATCTCTTACACACAGACAATAAAAGACAGGCCCACACACAAACACACGACAGAGCGCACAGAATCAATGATCTCTGACTGGAGCGTCCATCTCTACAGCACAAACATGCCGTCGCTAGAGGTGATTGGACGGGCTGTTGCTCGGCAGAGTTCGTTTGTGTGAGAAGGATCTTTAGTCGCAGATGATGGAGCAGTGATTTCATCTAAATGGTAAAATAATACATTACACAATAACGTCACTCATACAGACAATATTCCGTATTGAGTGAAATGAATAATTCATAATAATTATTCATGTTGGTGGTCAATTACCAAGCTCAGTATCTTGATCTTTTGACCTATGGCGAGATAAAAAAGTTGAGCCAAAGGCAAATCAGCATTATTAAAGGTTACGGTGAAGTTACTATGAGCAGTTCCTGTTTTCAATGTACCCACAGATGTACAGACAAACTGTCACTGGATCATTTTGATACTGCAGAAATCATGATGATTCGGAATCCTGTTTTTTCCTGAATCCATTCTATCAACACACACTGTCTTCATCAACTTGAGGATGATGCATCAATGATCTGTTTCTACAGAAAACATAGTCAGGAGGTGATGATGTTACTGGACTGGTCTGTTTTTTCCTCTGTTGTAATAGCACTTAAAGAAAATACAGCTTAACAATGAGTCACACTGTGGCTGCACCACTGTGTTGCATTATAAAACCCACTTCACTTACTGTATATGTAGTTGATTGTATTAACACTTCTAATACTGCAGATACAAAGCAGTGCATCGACCACAGAATTTCTCAAATTGGATTTAGGTGAAGAATTTGTTTTTAATTCCAACTTCCCTCCTCAATACAGTTTATATTTCCTATTGATGTTGATGTTTACATCACAACATTTCCATCTGATGTCTCACAGTTACCTGACCCACATACAGTCGTTTCCAAAGTTCACAAACAGAGAGAGGCACACAAGGTGGAAGTACAGGTAAGGAAGGAGGTTGTGACATTTGTCATTGATCCTTCTCATGTCCTTTTTTTTTTTATTCATCCAGAGACATTTCGATTTTTCCAGTTTCGTATTGTTTTCAAACAGACCCACTGGAGGTGTTCAGGTTAATGCCTGGACTTCAGTGCATGTCTGAAAGCGGTTTACGTTTACTCTAAATCCCTCTGAGTGGAGTGTTAGTTCGATACTTTTAATTGCAAAAGCAAAATCGCTTCAGTGTGAGTGAAAACCTCAGACTCAGTAAGGAAAAAAGCGGATTGCTTCCCTATCTGCAACAAGACAGAAGGTTTAGTACAGTATATCCACCCCCACCCCCACCCCCACCCCCACCCCCGGCTAGTGAAGTAAGACTCTTATCTCAGCGCTCCTTACTTCAAAGCTCGTTAAAAGCAGCCTCCTCCTCAGCACAGAGGATGAGATGAGCATTCGCGAGAGTAACAGTTTATTTACGTGATAATGAATTAAATTAAGACGGATGAGTGGAGGGAGGGAGACACAGGGAGACGGATGAACGCAGAGGAACCGGGTGCTGAAGTTAAATGTTTGTAATAAATGTAATCATCACAGTGCCACGTGCTGCATTCCTGTGCTGTAATTTTTCTCTTAAAGGGATTATCATCGCCGAAAGTGTTCAAGCAGGATAATTAACAGGGAGATATGAAATGTCTTCAGCATCACTGCTGCAGCAGAAACATGTCAACTGAAACCAAAACTGAAATACATAATATGATCGCAACAGTTAGATATTTAATCAAATATCACGACTGATAGAAATATAATCATCAATTATATTGTTGGTATTATATTAATATTAAATGTGAGCTGCCACAATTGGGGATGAATATTAACAGCACGATGCATCAATGTATTTATTTCAGTTCCAGCGCAGTGGAGACATAAAAGTGTTAGAGATTTGTTATACTAAGCTCCCCAGCTACTGTAGTATACGATAACAATCTACTAACAATCTAGTATGAGTTTCTCAACTTCTGTCCTGTGCAAGACTTAAAACTTTAAATTTAATTTTTTAACTTTAAATTAGACAGTGCAACATGTTGCTACACTACACTACACCAGCTCAATCTGTGGTCTCTCACAAATAGCACAGTGACACTACATTCTCATTTATCTCATGTGTTTCTTTAGCCTTGGCACACGTTACCTTGTAAACTGGACGATAAACAGAAAAGCTGGAGTCATGATGTCTGCACGTCCCTGACTGATCCTGAGCAGCAGCCACAGCAGAACCCTCCACCAACACAGAGTAACACAACCCGCTCTAATGTCCAAACACAGGGATACAGTAGTCCACGGTGTGTCTGGCAGGCAGACAGACAGGTGGTGTGCAGATAATGCTGTCTCATTAGAGCAGCGTACTGAAGCACTCAGAGCTGGCCAGGAAATCCACTTAGCAGAGATGGGAGCGGGACGGAGGAGAGGACTTGACGGAATGGGAATTGTGGAAGAAGGAGAGGGTGAGGGGCGTCTGTGCTGGTGCCAGTTGTTCCTGAAAGTCATGTGATGTTATTGATCCTCAAATGTAAAGGGGGAAGTGGACGTTTCATCAGTCTTTTTGAGTAAAATGTTTCAGTGTCTTCTTAGAGGGAACAAATCCCGAACTGACCAAAGTGTCAGCCTCTGCCAACAACCAGGCTGCCTTTCAGTAAGCACTCACCAACACTGTTCATGCTTACACAGTGTGAACATCTGATGATGGCAGTGGGGGTCCTGCAGCGTGTGTCGCCACTTTCCTGACCTCAGCTATTCCGTAAGCCAATAAACAAGGCCCCATTCAGACCATCTAATAGCCCTGCATCATAAAACATGGCCTCCTCATTCACTTCTTTAAGACCAGTGTTAAGGACTACTAAGAAAACTAAGGACTGTCTCAAAACATATATATAATCCTGGCTGAGTTTTTCTGTAGCAAATCTCAGTGTTATATGAAGCTACAGCCAGGAGTTGATTAGCTTAGCATCACGACTGAATGTGGGTGGCTGTTGTCGGCCCTCATCGCCAAAAACTCACACATTTCATTGTCTTTCCAAGTTGACATCTTCCAGTTTCTTGTCTGTCACGTGTAAGAAGTGTCCTCAACACGTCCACTCGCTGGCTGTGAATTTTACAGAAATTGTCCTTGCTGTATTCTCACATGGGCTCACTATGAATGTCCTGAGCAACTGACGTGGACATTTGTGTTCTCACATACAGACCCTCTGGGCCTCATTGTCAACTTTTCATTTCTGTAAGTCAAGTAACCAACCAGCGGACAGAAAGTCCACAGAGACACTACTCATACTCACTTTCTAATCGATACAAAGAGGAAGCGTATAGAGGAATGAATGAATAGGGAGCAGCCATCATCACTGCAAACAGGCCAAAAGTCTGGTTACCACAGCAGCACAAGCAAAAATAACACAAATATGCATGGGTGTGATTCGATGTGCAAGCACATGCACAAACCACGGAATTCCTTCAATGAGTAAAACGCACACTCATTCTCCCACTCTCACATGCACACAATGAAAACACACATCGAGCAACTGTAAAAGCAGTTTATGGGTGTGTGTGTGGCATGAGCAGCTTCTGTTAGCGTGTCCAAGTGTGCAGAGGAACCCTGCAGCAGTTCACATGAATGGAGACCAGATAGAAACATAAAAGCTTGTCAGTGGTCTTTACAGAAAAGGAACTAATGTGGACAGCAAGTCAAGTGAAAGACCCAGAGGAAGTGAAAGAAGGAAGGGGGAGGAGAGGAGAAAGAGAGAGGGGGAGGAAAAAGACTGACAAGAGGCAGAAGAAAGGAGAAAGATAAGATGGAACAAATTAAGTAATGATATGGTTCTATATGACTTTAGATACTGTGCCACTATTTTCTACAAGAAAACCATCTGTACAGGTTCTCAGAGGACGGTTTAATGACCCTGTAGCCCTCAGTGTTAATCCATATGAAACAGCCTCCAACATTATGACCTCAGCCCTGTGATGATATATTGACCATCAGCTAAAAGGGAGCACAACAGCAATAAATCAGATTAAAAATAGAAGTAAAGTAATCGTGTCTCTCTCTCCAAAGGAGGAGGACCTTCATATTGATCCAGGAATAAACATCTCAGGTGTCTCCTGGTGTCTTCTTAACTGTTGAAAGTATTGGTGGATGGAACAAAACAGACACAAACAATCAGATGTATGATGACGAAGAAAAGCTCGGTGGACATTGATGACAAGTTTTATCCCCCAAACAACACCTCTCCGGTCTTTTAAATAGCCCGGACGATGTAATTCCAATTGCGAGCGTGCTCTGTCCAACACTGAATCTATATCAATCAATGATTCATCGACAGATCCATCACTTTCTACCCCCCCTTCTGACTCACCCCTGCTTGGTGACAACACAATGACTCAAATTCTCGCTCTGAAACAAAGAGACCTGCATTTCCTCCAAAGAAGAAGTGTCGACTGGGTGAAATTTAACATCTACTTGAGGTTTAGCAGCATTTTGGTTTCAAATCCTGTGTTTTCCTATGACAGCAGGCTGAGAGGGGTTTACAGAAATACTGACTCTGTGGTGATCGCGTTCTACTGTAAATATTTCACTTGTGACACTTTGCTGTTTTGGCAACAGCAGATTAAAGAGTATACTGAGGATCATTTTGGCTCCATTCCTGATATGGAAAACCATTTCCCAGCTTTAAAAAGCACATTTTACACTCTTGATTTTCATCTTTTATGCGTTCTATCTTTTGCGTGAATCCTTCTAAGTGTTTTTTAGATCAGGTGCAATATTCAACTCACTTTTATCTGCGTTATTATTCTGGGTTTTACACATTATGTCCTTGTGGGCAGTTTTTAGGTGTTTTTTACACAGCGTATTGTTTTTCAGCCCAAAAAAATGTATATTACAAATAGTGTTGTACAGGAACTTTGTTTTTTTATCATTATCTGACTAGTGAAAAACAATTTCCAAGAGCACTTCTGGTCACTTTTTGCTGCTCATTCAGTCCCTTTGTGTATTTTGCTGGAATATAAGTGAAAAAGAACTGATGAACCACTAAATTAAGTTGAAATGCTGAGTTACATGTCATGAGTGAAGGCCGAATTGAGAAATGACATAAGGTCATTGGTGAAGAGGCTTCAATATTGAAGTTTATTCAATGCACCTCAGCTGAAAACTAACTCAAGCTTTAAATCGCCTGTTTTTACAATAGAGTTTGGCGTAACGTCCGGGGATTGTTCATATGGCTACGCCAAAACAACACAGAACCGTTGTGCTCGGATAAAGTATTAAATAAACAACCAAAACACCCATTGTTGCCTCTCCACTCACCATATCATAGACGTTTAGGATGATCGGCTCGTTTGCCATCACTGGCAGCGGCAGTTTCCTCCCGCTACGTCCCTTCTTCTCTGCGGGTCTTCCTCCTCCTCACACCCCCCGCTCCTCGGTTCCTTCCCCCGGTGAGAGATCCGAACTCTCGCCCTCTCTGAAAATAGACCTCGGTCCTCCACCGTATTCGCGGCGCTTCCACGACGGATTCGACAATTCAGCTCCACGGCAATGGTTTCAAATCGTGGGGGGGTCCGAGGATATGTTCCCACCGGCCAACATCTGACGGGCTTTGTCCGGAGCCTCCGCGCCTCACAGAGCTCCAGCGGCGGCGGAGGACGGCGGAGCCTCTCGCTTGGCAAGACGGACGGACTCGCTAACCGAGGTCGGGCTGAGAAGGCGGACTTCACGCGGGGGGATGTGTCTTCCAGGAGCCGCGTCGACACGGAGGAAATGTGATTTCATCTTCCCGAACAAGACAAATATTTAACTAACCGACATAACGCTGATATTCCAACGGGGGAGAAAAAAAAATGACTTCCGACTCCCTTGTTATTCGCTGGCTAACGGTAGCTCCGGAGCTGGCGGCCGGGCAGGATGCGACCGCTGGCGGAAAAGTGGTCGGAGAGAGTGGGCGAGCGGAGCGATGACAGCACGCTCGATTCATCAACCTGCGGGCATTGTGGGGGATGTAGTTCTCGACGTGAAGGCAACGAACCGATAAACAATAATAGTGAACTGTATTTATGCAGCAATAAAAAATAAAGAGTTTACCAAGAAAATATGACAATCAGAATGGAGGTAGATGAGTGAAGAACAACATGTCACGTTTATTCTTATCAACATGTTTAATTAAGTATTTTTCAGTAGACAATGCCCTAAATTCACGGAGACATATTTTTTACTTGGTTGTGCACCATTAATTGTTCTGTGAGAAATCAAGAGAACATAGTGAGACGTCCTTTGTCCGAGTCTCTGGATTCTTTCCTGACCCAAAACTGCATCTTTCCACGTTTCCACGTTTTGTGGATTTCTGTTCGGTTGTTTTTACAAACACACACGCTAGGGCTGAAAATGTGACCTTTGCTCGGAGGTAACAGGAATAGCGCTCAGTAGAGACAGTACCTCTACCAAAGCCGTCCTCTTATTTATATTCAATCAAGCTGCACCGCATTGCACACACATTGATATCAGTTCCCTCCAAATGTCACATTTTTGTCTTCAAGATCCATTAAAGATGAACATTTTGGGGAGAAATAAATCCTATCTCGACCTTCGTTTTAAAGAAAATTAACATTTCCGGGCTCCACACCAACATTTTATGGGTTTTTCCCTGACCCATAATTACATATCCTTCCACAAAGTTTTGTGGAAATCTGTCTCAATAATTTTACGTCAGGAGTGAAAACAAACTCCTTGGCAGACATACCATAATTTTCCTACTGTTAAGCATGGAAGCGGTGACACTGATAGAGGAGAAAATAGATTTCCAAAACAGATCTGACATAAAATACAACATGAACTACTCAAGCGAGCATCTGCCAAGCCACTCCATAGTGCAGTCACTTCAATTGCCACCTATAGGTGTGTATACATAAATAAGTGTAAATGGCTTCCTGTATCTCCATCTGTATAAAATAAAATCACCATATTTCTAACTCTGGATGGGCAGAAGCATTGAGACGTGGTCCCCATCTTGGTCCTTTTCCTTGTGGTTTCCACAGAAGAATTTGAAGCACAACAACAATGACCTACAATATTTCATATATTGTATTTATGTAGCAGGAACTTTTCCACAAAATCCCTCGTCCTCTGAGACAAACTCATGAACCCCCCTGGTCGTTTTCTCCCAACAGTTCCATGAGCGTCTCCTGGTTGGAGAACTCGTGCAGCGAACAGTTCATCTCATCCAGCAGCTCCTCTCCCAGCAGGAAGCTCTTGACATCGTGCACAGTCTTTCCGATCCGATGGTCTGTGATCCGGTCCTGGGCGAAGTTGTATGTCCGGATCTTCTCCGATCTGCTTTTGGTGCCAATCTGGAGGAAGAGAAAATAGTCAATAACTGCTTTGTCCATTTTTTGACATTATGTTCTCAAAGCTTCTTCAATGCTTTTTTTTTGCTTTGCTGTCTTTTCTTTTGTTCCGATTATTTTTCACACCACCTTTTATAAGTATCTCACTGTCTTCACCTGTACTTTACGCTGGTTGTAGCGTTTGCTGGTCACCTCCTCCAGCTTGATGCTGTACAGTTTTGCTCTCAGGGCCTTCATGGCCTTCTCCTTGTTCTTCAGCTGGGATCGTTCCTGCTGGCACTCTGCAACCACGCCTAACAAAACACATACAAAAGAAGTCATGTGGCCATCTAATTTACATTTCTCATTGCCAAAGGTCCTGAAAACCTGTTTTCTGCAACATAAATACAGTTTTTGTTGGGTTATTTTTTTATTTTACATGAAATATTGTTGTATTTGCTGGATTGAAGTGGGCAGGGCTGAACTGAGGTGTATCTTCTTGGTATTTCATCAAAATAAATCTAAAAACTTGCAGCATTTACCTGTGGGCAGATGAACTATTCTGACTGCACTGTCTGTGGTGTTGACGTGTTGGCCTCCAGCTCCACTTGCCCTCTTAGTTTCTATCCGCAGGTCCTTTGGGTTTATCGTGAATGAGATCTGACAAGAACACGGAAACACACATTATTTACTTAAGTCTAAATCAGCAGAAGAAGAAGAGTACAACTCTCATCAACCTAGCTTCATGGTTAATCAAGGTTCAAACACTAATGAGAAATGAAGGAACCGTTAAAACCGACACTAAATTAGAGCAAATGAGGAAAACTTTCCCAAATTAAATAAAAAATTTGTGTTTTTGATTGACACACATAGAACAAGCAATAGCTGCCAAAATATGAAAAAAAATACTCCCATCTCAACAAAGTAACTTTTTCTACCTAAATGATCCATCCAGATATTTTTGTGCCATCCGTCCATCATGTCAAACAGTACCTCTGTAGGTTGGGGAAGTACAGCCACAGTCATGGTGCTGGTGTGCATTCGACCCTGTTTCTCAGTCTTGGGAACCCTCTGCACTCGATGGACTCCACCTTCGAACTTCATTCTCTTGTAGCTCTCGGGGCCACTGATACTGGCCGAGGCGTGACGGAGTCCACCTGGGTGAGGTGAGTAAGTAGTCACTAATTCTTAATACAGGGGATTCTTTAGAGTCTCACTGCAAACTGGTGGAAATGAGATTTAGTAATTTAGTAATTTTTTTTTTTAAGTAAATAAAATAATTTGTTTAAGCAGAATTCATTTCTAGAATCAATATAATGATGATGGAAAGCCTGTTATAGGATATGAAAATATACATAATATGTTTTTTTTTGTTTTTTCACACCATATCTTGTAGTAAGGTTTTTCTGGTGTTTTCCTCAAAAAAAATCAATAAAGATTTAAAATGAAATAGACAAAAACAGAGAAAAAGGGGAAAAACTAAATGCCTGAACGATTGGATTGAACTGACCACCCACCTATCTCGCTGGTCATGTGCTCCAGGATGTCAAAGGACCAGCCGTGATGCTGAGCGAAGCCGTGGTACATGTCAAACACCTTTAGAGGAGAACACACAAGTTATCAAGCAAATACAAAGAATATCTTATAGGTTTTTTTATTTTCAAGATGAGTCTAATTCTAATATTTCTACTGATGATGGGAAATCATATGATGTTTGTGTGTGGGGGGCATGACCAAAACTTACAAATGTTTTTATTTTGTTGCAATTATCAATTTAAATTTTGGTCCAAATTGTTCTAAAATGGATGCGTTGTTTTTTCTTTATGTAAATGTGCTTCTACTTTGCTATTTATTTACTATTCAGGTAGTTATAATTGTTTTGAGACCTCAGCAGTGAACAACATGGCCTCCTGACCCCCAATACCAGCTGTGACCTCCAGTATGAGGTCGCTCAGATCAGCCTCCTCTTCAGGGATCAACAGATCCAGGATCTGATTGGTGAAGCAGCAAATGAAAACATCTTCAGTTAATTTAGTCGTAACATTAGTTACCATGTTTATTTATGCTTCAGCTGTTTGTCACTTGTACCTTTTGTCTAAGATCTTGAATATCTTGCAAACAGCCGTCTCGTTCCAGCTCCGCCAGCTCTTGAAGCGCAGGGTCTTCATCTTTCAGGAGAAACAAAAAATGGAAATTGTTGGAAATTGCCAAAATGTTTACATCATCGGATCCGTCTCATATCTCGAATTGTACTGAACTACTTCATAACAATAGTAGATCTGATTTTTTTGATTTACTTGCATGATTACCATCTAGTTATTTCATCCTAAAAGTCACAATAAAGTAAATGTAGCAATATAGAATTACAAACACAGTGAAAGAGGACTTTTATCAATAATTTCTGACAACTGTAGCAACAGCAGTGCTTACATAGTGCTGTGCCCGAAACAAAACCTGGGGGTTAATTAAATAGTGTGTGGACGTCTACCCTCTCCTTCATTCCTTTCCTTAATGACTAGTAAAGACATTGGTAGTTCAGACAGGAACTACATTTATTGTGCAGGTACATTTATTACATTTGTACTTTGTGCCTCAAATGTACCTTTGAAACATAACCCAGCCTTGACTTAAGTGCAGATGGAGACAGTCTCACCTTTCAGCAGCGCCTCAGTCTCTGTGATCTCTTTGTGTTTGGTGTCAAGTTCCCTGATGCTCTGGGCGAGAGGAGCCAGCAGCGACACCCTGCTCCTCTTGGCCCTCAGCTCCTCCTCGCTGCATTGCTCCTCCGTCTCATTGTGGTTCACTGCTCTCAGACATTCACTGTACTCTGCCTCCGTCCTCTTCAGGTACTCCTGCAGAGACCTCTGGGCAAACAGCTCTTCCACCGACAGTAACCTGGACACCAGCAATGGTGAACCGGTGTGAACAGTTCTCGCTCCACTGCAACGGTGGTGATGAAATCCAACGATTTGGCTGAAGAAGTTTGGTGATTTTTTAAAGAGATGTGCCAACTTATTGAAGACACACTCATTTCCTGTTAGAAGGAGGGTCCCAGCTCTTCTGAGAGCCATCGTATGAGCAGATTCAGGCTGAAGATTGACTGTAACGAGACAAAAACATGTCCTCCTTGGATTTGGCCTTTAGCAGAAGAACTCAGAGCCAACGAGTACAGCACCAAACTTTACTTCAACAAAGAGTGACGTATGGCCTGAAACCTCGAAACTCAGAGAAAAAGATTTAACTTTACTTGTTGCTATGGAACTTTGGATTTTAACAACAGACTCGGACTAAACACTTTGCTGACAGTTTCTTGTCATCTGATGAGACCTTCGAGTCGAATGACAAACTGCTGAACGCCTCTCTTACGTTTCTCCTGTCATCGGAAACATCGATGTGACTGAAACGAACCGGTTTCCTGTCACGAATGTCCGAAAAACTTTTAAACGAGTCACTATCGAGGGTTGTTGTACAGATATTGCTCCTTCACCACCTCACGTTAGGGCGCAGCCATATTAGAACTTCTTCTTCTTTGGGCTTAGACGGCAGCTTGTATCCTCGGTGTTGCATTACCGCCATCTACTGGAGGTTTGTAACTCCTACAATATCCAGATTGTCCACATCAGTTTTAAAGATGGACAGATGTTTCCTGCCTTGTCCACCTCCACCACACTCCAGTATATATATATACACCTGCTTCTGCTAGTCCTTTTTATTCCCTCCATCATGTCCTTACAATTCATATTCCCGGCAGTTAACAAGTACGTATTCTACGGTTTCTGGAATCCGACAATGTCCAGTTGGATGTTTCCTTATAATGTGATAAGTCTTCTCCTCTTTAAACCCAGTCGATGTTCCTGTCTATTCACATGTCCACTGAAACTTGGAAAGTGAAATAAATATAAGAGGATATGATACAAGATAAAGAAAATTATATAAGACTTTAACTTACTTTGCTTACTTAATAAATCACCCTGTTCTATAGACACTTATGTGTTTGCATTGGTTATAAATCCCATTCTTCTGAAAACAAAAAATCTGTCATTCAAATAATAGATTACTTGACCAATTATTTCAGCCAGTGTGTATCTGCTGTACTTACCACCACAGGTTTGTTGTGTGTCAGTTGGTGATTTCAATAAAAACTAAATTTAAGCATATGCAATAATGTCAGAAGAATACATTATTTGCAGAAATTTACTCAGGGCCACTCTAAATAACAGGGTGTCTGGATGAGGGACTCAAAGCCTCAGTTGATATTCAGTTTTGCTGATGAGATACTTGTACGTAAAATGCTCAACAGGCAGTAAGTGTTGAGCTTTCAGTGGCCTGCTGTGCCCATCCTGTTCTGTACTTGTAACTAAAATGACTGTGTGGATGTGTAAATTGGACATTGAATTTAAACAAGGGTCGATCCTGGAAGCTTTTCGTTTGCATAATGCAGTATGCAAAGATGTTAAACATCAGGAATGAGAGGGTGTCACCTCCCCAACATAAACCCAGCTTCACACTTTCTGTGTCTCTCTCTGTGTCTCTGTCTGTCACTGTTTTCTTATCTCCCCTATAGTTTTACTTGCGTGTTTCCCTTGAACATAAATATCAAAAAGCACCTTATCAGATTTTGGTTATGACATGAGTGAAGATTTCTTCCCCGGCGTCTCTGCTTATTTTCCACAATACAATTTATACAACAGTGAGAAGTTTAAATTGAAACACACATGCTAATGTGAACTAAACAAAACTACCACATCCCCCAACTGCCCCCTTTCAGGTTTCAAGAAAGAGTAACACATTCCAGGCAGGGGTGTGAACTAAACAGTCCTGTGTCTCATGGGCCTTTTAGCATTTGCTTCCCACAAACAGTGAGATTACTGACAGAAGAGAATTCTGTTCAGTCTCATCTATTTGAGTTTGCTCTGAATCCCAGTAAATTACACAATAACTCTACATTATGTTTTTGTAGGAGGATTTTAGTTTCAACTACAGTATCTGTCACATAATAACAAATGTGATGTGACTTGAAACAGAACAATGAAGGATTATACACATTGTGCCATTTACACATACTGTACTTTTACAGGAGTCTCAGGGGAGATGATGCAACATGTAGCAGGAAGATGCAATAAAAATAAGTAAATTACACTGAGTATTTTCAAAATGGACAAAACAACTTTATAGTAAGTAAGTAAGGAAGGATTTATTTTATAAAACACCTTTCAAAACCAAAGTTACAACGTTCCATAGAAAACAAACATTAAGATAAAGACAGGAAATCACAAACACAAAACACAGTAAAACACAAACAACAGCAGAATACAAACTACACAGAGGACAAAAACAATGGAACCATCAGGGTTAGACCAAGTTAAAAAAACTTCTAAAAACTGTTGAAGGACTCTGCATTTTTCACAACTAAGTGAAGAAGGTTCCAGAGGGAGGGAGCCATGACAAAAAAGGCCCAGTCACCTTAAGATAGGTCATTTATCATGTAGAACATTGTAGAATATATTTCATTCTTTACAAGTTTCTACAGTTTTTATTGCTTTTTCCATTCATCTGTGTATGTGATGACTCATCATATTGTCTGAATAATATTTCAAATTGCAATTGAGGTTTTTTTTTTTAATTCCTCTACATTACTGAATGTAATATTTTAAGATAAGATAATCCTGTATTCCTCCCAATATGAGGAACTTTGCATTATTACATTATTACAGCAGAGTCAAAATAGTCATTAGCAAGAGAAAAGTTACATGCAATACTTGAGTGTAAGGAATATAAAATATTTAAAAAAATATGAATTGAATTAAACCGTTAAGATACTATTAAGCTGGAAAAATAGTATTTTGCCGTAAAATCCTTTATTAAATTAAAAATGCCGACTCTTTTTATTTAATTAATAGCAAAATAAGAGGCCGTTTTAATTAAAAACATTAAAAAATAAAACCTAAACAAGTTTCCGTTTCATTACTTCCGGGTTTGAGGTTTTAAATCGGGTGGGAAAAACCAGCGGGAGGACGTCGATTAGCGCGCTGACGTCACTCCACCCTGTCCTCAAGCACAGCTCCCATTGGTCGATGTTTTAAAGGGACGGACCAGCTGCGCTGTGATTGGCTTGCGCCTTTTACGCACGGATTTCAAATGCGCCGCAGCGACTGGCGGACTCACAGTTCAGCGGCGGAGCATCGAGTCAGGTCTCCGCTCGGTTCGGCGGGGAATAGCTGGAGTTCACACCGGATAACGACGCAGAAACACGGTGAGAGGACTTGACATCCAACTCGCATCCTCCAAAGTGTTTGGAGCAACTGTTGTTGAGGCGACGTTAGCGAGCGGGAGTGACGGCGCTTGCTAGCTTAGCGCTACTTAGTTCCGGCGTCAAGCTTCGCGAATTAAAAGTCCACTAACGAAATCAACACATACTGTGCGTAACCTCACGACTTATTTAACCACTGGCAGTTTGAGTTCAGTGAATATCACGAGATAGTAAAGTTAGTCCGCTGATTCCTATTGCAAACTAATGTACGCGCGAAAATGGAGGCTGCTATCCGAGGTTCTCTGGATCCGAACATTGTCCTGTCAACGAGCATTGGTTTATATTACGAGAAGAGGCTCATGTTGGAAACACTGACAAATGCTTTTAATGATTCTGACTTCCTGTCTCCGAACATTCACGTCATCGCAGATTCCTTTCCGCCAAATTTACATCGCCGCGCCAAAACCAGTCGTTTGTTTAGTCAAACATCTGGCGGCAGAGTTTGAAAGTGCATTCAGTGTTTATCCGGACATTTAAGATGTGGTCTAGTTGTGTACATGTTGTCTCAGTGGGGGTTTCTAGCTGTTTTGTGAGCTAACTTTGATGCTATGGGGAGCTAAGTTAGCTTTGCATGAGAGGAGCCACGTTGTCAGAGATCTAACACCCACCCCCCCTGATCTGTCTCCTTCATCCAGGGATCTACATCCTGCACATCCTGTAGTTTGCAACCTAAATAACCTGCAATGAAGTGCCCTCGCTACGACACCACCAGAGTCTGCAACATGGAGAAAAGTGCTGATAACGTGGCTGCTGGTGAAGCCAAAGTGCCACATGTCAAAGCTTCCCCTGTGAAAGAGCCCATCCCCATCAAACCCCAGTGTCCACCTGCAGGAGTGACCAGATTGTTGTTCTCGCTCAACAACGACACCAGAGCGGTCAACAACAAGGAGAACAGCTCCGGCAGGGAGCACGACAGGACTCTGGATGAAGGCCTTGAAGACAGTGGTTATCTGTCTCTGCACAGCAGCCAGATTGATGATCACCACGGGGACGAGGAGGATGACCACATCCAAAAGAGAACCGGAGCTACGCTGTTGCTCTCTGCGACACAACAGAGGACGATATCCCCACACAACTCTCCCTCCAAATGTAACGCAGGCCACAGAGAGTCTGTGGTGGCAGCTTCCACTCCTGTGGATCGTCCCAGGAGAAGAATATTGTCATCTACACCCTCTGATAGCCACAGTGACCCCAACCTGCCTATACTGAAGTTCCAACGGGCGGTGTGTGAAGAGCTCGCCAAGAGCTATCGGAAGAATAAGAGGTAGATTTACACCGTGTATTTAATCTTGGATTAGATTGAGTATCGATCATTTAGACTGGAAGGTACAAATACCTAGTCTGTCTTTATTAATGACTTGAACAAGGGAATTACAATTGTTTTCCTGTATTTCAGGTACGACTGGAGCATTGTCACTAAGGTGGCCGAGGATCACCTTTTGGATCGCGTGATCGGAGGCCAGATGGGACGGGAGTACGTCGACATGTTTGTGTCTCTGCTGTCCAGGAACATGAGAAGTATCCTGAGCAACATCCTGGCCCTGCTGGGAGACATGGACCTCATTAGGTAAAATAGAAAAGACGTGACTCAGTTCTACTGACCCGTTCTATTTTGGATGGACGTTTAATTTAGTGTTTTTCAGGTGTTCCTTTTCATACTTGATTTGTTTTTCTTGTCGATATTCATCACATTTTTACCTTTTCTGACGTTGCAGCTGTAAGAAAGTGAGCAGGACGTGGAGGAGAATCATCTGTGAGGATACCACAGCTAAGAACAGGTGTCAGCAGGCGGAGGATGCACTCAGGGTGAGGACACAACAGACAACACGCACACAAGGCTACTCAAATAACAACAAATGCTACACATGTTGTACAGGACTTGGTTGTTCTGTATTCATCTCTTATAATTTTATTGGTATTATTCCTTTGTTAGGAGTCAATGAGCTCTTTGAGACAAAAGGACTGTGGTCTGACAAGAGACGTGGCGGTGTCCAGGGTGGTGCTGTCCTGCATGCAGACCCGGGCCTCAAGCACAGTATCATCATCCTCCTCCTCCTCCTCCTCATCATCGTCCACAAGCTGCAGGGTCAACAGACGCATTACTCTCTCTCAGAAGGGCAACACCCCCCCATCCCAATGTACACGCTTCAATGAATTTGTGCAGGTGTGTTTGAGTATTAACGACTAAATTTAAAGATTGTTTTTATTGATTGAACTTTTACTACTTTTATTTCTCAGTTTAATATTTGATCCTTAGCACCTAACACACCAGTGAAAAGACCATCCATGATTCCCAAAAACCCAGATGTATTCACTTTGTTGTAATGGAAGAAAAGGAATGGCAGCAAATTCATTTTAGAGCCTGGGACCATTAAATTTTAAGCATTTCTGGATTAAAATTAACTTGAGTGGTTGCTGGTTGTGGTACAGTAGCTTTGGTGTGACATAGCTTTTACAGTGGGGGGAACAATACATTTCAAGCTATGGGGAATGCAGCAATATACATTTCATTCTTTCAAATTCCAGCTTTAACAAACATGCACATGTTTTTGTTCCTCTGTCCAGGCGGCCAGCAGCCTGAAGCAGCACGAGTCTCTACGTTCCTGCAAGCGCTGCGGTTCACCAGCGACGCATTCAGCAGAGACCCAGCGGGCAATGTGCACACGCAGTGACTGTCTCTTTGACTTCTGCACCTGCTGCCAAGAGACTTTCCACGGCTCGACCCCCTGCCGAACGGTGGAGTCCAGACCCCACTTAGTCACCTCCAAGGCGACCCCGATCCTACCCGGCAGTGCTCGCAGCAAGAGGAACATCAGACGCCTGTGACGGAGGTTTAATGAGTTTTTATTCACTGACAGTTTTAACTGTGGGGCGGGGGGGGGTCTTTCTCTGCACTGGCAGTGACTTGGACAGCGAAGCGCAGCCTGGGAGCGGCTTCTGTACGAGCACCATATAGTATTACTCTCAAAGCTCTGGCTCTACACAACTGAATCAACTGAGTAAAGCACTTGTTTACAACACAACTGGGACAATCAACCAGAAAAGTGTCGTCTGGCTAAAACTGTTGTCGTCTGTGAGCGACAAACAAATCTGATGCCAAAAAAGAAAGAAATAGAGCTTGATATGCTTTATATTGTAACATTTTTATCATGTTTTAAAACGAAATGGATGTACATTTATCGTATTGTCACTTTTAGATGGTTTTGTACGTTTATATTTTCTTTTAAATAAATGTTGAATGTCAGGAACTCTTTAAATGTTCAGATTTACTGTATTTTCTGTAAATAGATGTTTCATAAAATTTAAACTCGTTTCCTGTGTTTCTTTATTGATCCCAGAGCTGAAATCGGATATTGAGGCCGATATGGGTTGTTGGGTGTTTGGCTGTTGATCGGTTACAACATTTTAAGACGTGTCTAGAAGAATTGGAAATTAAGGACGGGCGCGTATTTGAACTTTTATTTGTCGGCTGATTCATTAAGGACGTAACATTTTTGACACGATCCCAGTTTAAAATTCTTTATCCATACATTTCTACCTATATTCAAACTTAGTTCTTTTCTACTCTTATCTCAATGTGTTTGTCCCGTTTTTGTAGTGAGGTCATTTCAACCCAGGTCAGATCTTAATTCTTTCACTAGATGGCAGCATTGATCAGGTTTTGAGCGATAACTGCTCTTCTACCATTCTTGGCAAATATAGATTCTTAAAATTCAATTGTTCTCATAAATTGGATCTAAATTTTTCATTCAAATAAGTGGCCGATTTATTGACATTTTCATAAACTTCATGGGAAACAATTTTTGGATCTATAAAAGCTAGAACAGTTTTAACTTCAAGCAGATTCTAAAAGACAAAGGCAAACTTTTTTTTACTGTAAACCATTTAAAACTATATATATATATAGTATTGAAGTTACGTCATTTTGATTTCTTAAAGGTTGTCGCACACTCGGGTGTGATGCCCTGTGAGCTGCACCTCCTGAAGTTGTGACACATCTGAATTTGTCTTCAGGAAGAATCTAAAACACTCACCAGCTTTTGGAAAATTCCTCTCAGGATAAAAATGGCCTCTGCCACTTTCCCCTTAAAAAACAAGGCATCACTTGTTTAGTGGAGTAATGAAGCCGTGACAAGCATCTCTGACATTAGACGGTTAACTCTGACATTTGCAGCATGACCCATTTGTCTCCTGCCCGTCCCTCCTGTAGCTGAGCTGCTCTTTGGTGTCTTGCGATGACACATAAACATCCATCAACTTTCATTCTCGTGTCAGCTCCTGCGTGGGAATGATGTCTGTTCGGCCGGATGTCCTGTGACGTGGAAAGATCCTGCAGGTTTGTCAGGAAAACACTCAGATAGCAACACAGTGTGGAGTTTTAACACAGAGAAGCTTGATGCATCACGCTGGCTGCAGGGGGTGCTTGTTAGAGCTCACAGTTTATTTTTACAATGAGTCCGAAGATACCGTCATCGAACCCTCGTGACAAAGAAACGTCATTGAGGCTTGATGTTTCAACAGTTTAACTATAACATTAATTACGAAAAGCTATTTAAAAACAATAAAATACAAATACAACCAAATATATAGAACTTGAATTAAGGAAAAACATATTTGTTTACATTAAATATGATAAATGCTTCTTTTCTTTCCTGAATTGTGTACTAGAAATAAAAGAGCTGATATAGACGCATGATGTCAAAGTTAAATGCTGATATGTGTCTGATAAAGCACAGAGGTTTGTCCTGTTCTATAATTTATTAACAATCCTCTTTCTGGTTCAACGTTCTCCATCATCTTGTTTAATCTAAACAGGTAGATCAGCTCATTTTACAAGTTCACAAGCTGCCCCCATGTTTACGTCTTCTACTCAGCTGAATTTGAAATATGAACAATTTGGCATTTGCTCTGGGTGCGGATGTGCATGCAGGAGAAGTAGAAAACCTTTGTCAAGGGCTATGTTTGATTTCTATTGTCATCCAGGGAGGAACACAGTAACATAATTACAGATGTAATGTAATAATATAATAAAGATGCCCCTTGTTTTCACAATGTCTTGTTTTCATCCGCAGCAGCCACATTTTAAATCCAGTATCCAAACCTCCTCTTTTTCAGTTCATTTCATTTTATTCTCTTGTATTTGTGAAGCTTCAAAAAACAACATACATCATTTTAAAGCACTTAATGTCATAAGGTCGAGAACTTACAATGTCCCAGAGAAACTCAACAGCTTCTACAGAGAGCAAGAAAAAAAACCTCGAAATAGAACGAGACACAAATGAGGATACATGATGTCGGCTTCAAAAAACAACACATATGATACATGCGTGTTGACGTGAAGGTGAGGAGAGCAGCAGGTTCTCACCTACAACAAGTGAGAAAGTGTCATGATGATGGAACTAAATGGACTATTTTGTAAAACGTCAGAGCAGCCGACGTCACTGTGGCAGCGGCTGATTAATCTGTGCCGTGGCCTTTCACTCCCTCAGCGACTCTGGATCATTTATCTGGCAGATTTATTGATCGGCTGCTGCAGCGACACACACACTCAGACCTGCTGCTAATTCTAAAAGGGCTTCCACATCTCTGTGTGTGTGTGTGTGTGTGTGTGTGTGTGTGTGTGTTCATAAAGTGGTGCACAATGGAGACGGGAACATTGAGACCTCCTGTGGCATTTAGTGCAACTTGCTGCATATCAACACCCCCCCCCCAAAAAAAATGTTTTCCTGTAAAAAAGGCAAATCTGTCAAATAGCTCATTTGTGCCCAAGGAAAGAGGAGGCGGGGCGGGGGTTGGGGGTATGACAGGGCAACTTCCATGTGAGCCTGTGTGTGTGTGTGTGTGTGTGTGTGTGTGTGTGTGTGTGTGTGTCAGGTTGACGATGATCCTGATTCACAGTGACGTCCACATGCCAATTGGCCCGATGTCAACAAAGCTGAACTGTAAAAGCCCTGAAATGAAGCTGTCACTCGATCAGCTCCAGGGAAACGAGGGGGGAGCAGGAAGCAAATCTTTTCAGACTGAGAATGAAGACAGGAAAAAAAGGGAGAACATGTTTATCATGGGCTGTTTGGGAGGAAGATGGTATCTCGTGTGTTTTCTGTCACCAATAGATCACAGGCTGGATTGTCTTCAGAGGTGACACTGTTTTACTTGAATGATGAAGACATGAGGGACCAGGAGGAGGTTGTTCTCCACAATCCATCTGTGGAGAAGTTCAGGCAACCGAAGGGGGAGAGGTTGTGGTCACTCTGGAGTTTTTCTGTTTCACATTATTCCCTGAAATGAACAAAGTGCTGCAAGAACACAAACATGAACATACAAATGTATATTTTCCTACAAGATCAGTTTGTTCATTTTGGTAGAAGTTTTCTTGGATGATTAAGCAACGTTATCATAACCATTTTAAAGGATGCAGAGCTACACACACACACACACACACAGACACACACACACACAAACAGACACACACACGTGGTGTTAAAAGGCTGCAGCACTTTCTCTATTTTTACTCCGTTTGGTCCATTAAGATCAGAGCAGTGATGAGAGTTAATGAACGAAGCCTCTCCACAAAAGAGGCTGTAATCACAAATGTCCTCCACACACACACACACACACACACACTCTCACACACACACACACACACTCTCTCACACACATGTTGACCAGACGACACATCTATCTACCTCACTCTGGAACAGTCAATTAAATGTGTACACACAAAGACTCACACAGACACACACACACACACACACACATGATGATAATTCATGGAACATATAAGGTTCAATAATGTGACCTGCTCTTACAATGTACGACTGTACTTTATTCATTTTGTTTTAAATTCAGAAAAATATTTGGCAACACTATTGGTCTGTAATTATATAATATATAATAATTCTTTTAGCCCAAACATCCTTCTCTCTAAATATACATGCAAAAAGAGTTTTGTCTTATTTCACCACACAAACCATCTGATTGAAAGCAATATAATGCTGAATAAGCACATTCCTTTGAATCTTTCGTCTTCTCACACGGACACATTTGCTTCTAATTATAGGGCGGGCTGATCCTGGTGCAGCCCTGCAGAACATTGCTTATGACATTTATGAGTCAAATATCCGCTGCCCTTTTGACACTTGTAAACAGACTGAGTCACAACAGGGAGAGCGAGCAATTAACTCAATGCTGGAAAGTATTTGTTTGGAGGAAAAAGTATGGGAACGCTGTTTTGTGTTTGCTTGATGAAAGCAACTGAGAATATAAAGAGTTCAAATCACATCTATAAAACATTTTTTGGAAAGATGATGAAAGAGAAGGGAAAATGAAATAAAATGATATTACTACACTGAGCAGGGTCTTTTAAACTGGATATCTGAACTACAACTATACGCGTGAGTGTTTTTTGTTCCTTCATGTCCAATGAACAATAACGAAGCCTCATGAGAAGCTGTACGAGCTGTTAATGTTCAAATTAGAGCAGGTCTACATTAAACAGAGAAAGTAAGAAACAAACCTGTGAAGACGAGAGTGAACGAAAACAGTCCATTCACACCTGAACCTCTTTCATCACCTGCCTCCTGTTAGTGGAGCCATTACAGAGCAGAGCTGTGGAAACTCTCAGTGGTCTGACAGAGAAATCTGCTAATGGTGCGAAGCATGACGACACGACTGAAAGCATTTCTACATTCAGACCTTTAAACAACCTCACAGCCGTATAAAACTGTGAAAACTGGCTGAATCAGATTTAAAGATATACCAGGAAATGTACTCTGAAGGCCACAATATAGGATTTAATGTAGTTTAATGCTATTATTCATGTTTTAATTGTACAGAGTGTTTTGTTTGAAAAGTTTTTAAACAAATCCACTCAAACTTTGTTGCTGTCAATAAATGATGGCGTGAAAAAAGCCCTTGTGATTGAAAAAAAGATTTTAAACTAGAATCTGGAGCAGATCTTTATTGAACCTTTGAGCAATTGTTTTGGAACCAAACATTTATTTTAAAAAAGAAGAAAAAAAGAATTTAAAATTGTTCAAACCAAGTTAACACACAACTGAGTGTCGCTGTCCGTGGTGCTGAAGTGCTCAGACGTTCACAAGCTTTATTTTTTGTTTCCTGCGACTCACTCATCCTTCTCCCCTCCTATTTCTCATCAGTGAACATTTAAGTGAATGTCTAAACAAGGGAATCAAACAAACAAGGATCCCTTCACCCAGCAGGAGACCTTCAGTTTCAAACTAACCCCCCCCCCCCCAAATTGAATTTGAAATAGCCTCTGATAGAGAAACAAATGAGGAAACTGTTGTGAAAGAACACCAGCTACCATAAAACCACTGATAAAACTTTGCCTTGAAGTTATTTTCTAATTGTTTCTGTGAGGACATTCTGCACAAAGACAGTATTTCTGTCACTTCGTGCTCTTCATGTCTGTTTGAATGTGACGTAAGGATGATTCTGAAAGAGATATTCAAACAAAACCTTTCTGTAGATCTCAAACCTGCTTTTCCCACCACTGGGAAAGCTGGTGAGAGGTCGGACTCAGTTTCTGGGTCAACTAGGAAACAATGAGGTGTTTTAAGGTAAAGGGCAGACCCATTGTTTTCATCTCAGTGAAGTTAACGTCTGTGAAAGTCACTTGTTTCCTTTTTAAATTTTGGGAAACTCGCCTCTGTAAACCTCAAACTAATGAAGAAGTCAAACAATCAGCCAGACAAAACAACTCAGCTTTGAAAAATAAACCAACATCTTTTATTTGGTGAGTGGCGTACATCACTATATGCGCTACAGGCAGGTCTATGCACAGTTATAACTTCTCTGCTCTACATAGTGGATAGTATAAAGTGAATATATGCGTCTGTGTCCATTTGAAATGTGTCCTCCTTCCTCTTCTGTCTATGTTTAAAAACAAATGACCACATCTGGATCCTCTAACACGACCAACTCCGCACTTAGATCATGATTGCACCATTGAAAATGAATGGAACAATGGTTCATTTCACATGACGGATGTTCTGTTCACACTTGTCCCATTTAATTTCCCTGTGTGTGTGATAGTACATTACGTTTTTTACATTTCTTATCATCCCGTTCTATTTCAAGTTAATTGGACAAATGTTCCGATAGGTACATCGAAAATAGAATAAATAAATTAAAACAAATGCTGTTCCATTGATGTTCAACAGGTCAAATGTCAATAGGTAGAATTTTACTCATGATTAGGGGGAAATGTTTCCATTGAAAATTAATAGAACAACACTCTTCTTGAAAATAAGGTGACAGATATAAAAGGTAATGAAGATTGGTTGCAAAGCAGCTATTCCAATAAAAGCAAATTGTACAAGAATTCATTAAATATTAATTGGACAAGTGCTCTACTGAAATTCAATATTAATAAGTGATAATGAGAATCAATCAGACAGAAGTTTCATTTAAAATTTAAGTTCAACAGGTCAAATAATTGACGTAAAGTAAAATCAAATCAAACAAATTTCACTCAAATTGAATAGAACTTTTATTCCATTAAAAGTACTGTCAGGAACTTTTTCCATTAAAAGTTTATAGTGCAACACTAATCTTGAAACAAACTGTGACATATATTACATTCATGTTTTATGTAACTTGACTTCTATTAAAGGTGACGGGGCCCATTGAGGAGACACTGGACGTGTTCTCCATTGAAAGTTAATGGAACTCTTATGCATGAAAATATAAATATTTTTTTTTCTATTTAAAGTTAATTCAACAAATGTTGGTCGACGGAAGTTAACACTGAAAATCAATGATAAAGGTGCAATATTAGAACTAAATGCTGCTCTGCTGACATTCAAATGTTTGACTGAAGGTTAATGGGACAGATTTCCCTCAATTTTAACAGGTCGGTGATTCCTTACAAAAGTTATCAGGGGAGAAAAGTTTCCACTGAAAGTCAATGGAACAACATTGATCTAAGAAATAAAAGTAAATGAGCTCCTGCTGATATTTTTCTGTCACCGGACGCCGTCTTCAAACGCTGATTGACCAAACTGTTCGCAGACACGTGTTGCTTTGTTCGGCCCAAAAACTTTTTGAGCCATAAATCTTTAGTGATTAGTATTGTGTGTATATATATTGTGTATATACAGTGTAAACATGTACGGTGTGGATGGATAGATAGATAAACACATCATCGTTGGTTCATTTGACTTTGACTGTCCTTTGGATTAACACGGTGTTGTTTTTTTTGGAATGGGCGGTTTCATGAGGATGAGTTGAGGTATTCAACGCAGACCCCTCCTCAAAGAGGCTGCAGAGAAAGAAAGAGGAGAGAGAAGAAGAGACTTTATTTATCTGGAACAACCGACAACCTGACTGAGATAAGGAAGTTAACAAGACAATATATATTGAATCAGGATGTTAGTGTGTCTTCATAAGCTTCACCTGTATGTTTGTTTACTTCTTATAATGTATGTGGACACTATGTGTTTACTCATGAACTTGTCTTTCAGATTGAGGACATGTGATGAAAGTGAAGGTATTTCTGTTGGGACTCACGTCTCTAAAGAACTTTGAGGACATGGTTTTAGGTTTTAAGGTTATGATTAGGTGAAGGAATCTGTTAATGTGTGTGTGTGTCAGTACCTACCAGTTGAAAGTTGTTTAGGAGGTGATCTACATTGATGTCGTCGTAGCTCTCCGGGAAGGTGTTGGGTTCGTCCCTGGACTCTTCTGCGTCGCTGGTTCCAGGGTCTTCCAGGCTGTGAACATATCAAACATTTTATTCCATAAAATTTAATTTGCGCACATTTTTTTTAATCGAACGATCAGGAAAAGATGATGGGGAAACATAAAGAAAAGCCTTCCAGGCTGAAATCCCCTCAAACACACATTAAAAGGTAATGTCTGAATGTTCTGCAGTATCATTATATCAAATGTGATTTACCTTCACTCTTGTTATATATCCACTACAATTGCTCTCAGGATTCAGTTGAAGGTAGAAGACGACCACGAATAGAGATAATTTGCCATATTTAATCAGCTTTGCAGAGGTTTCTATCATGATTTTTGGTTATTTAATTCAAACCCATTAATTTGTTCGTTAAACTCGTTTTAAACTGCAGGGAACATTCGAGTCTCAGAAAGCAATTGAGTAAAAGCTGCTCGTGTGCTTACGTCTGTATTCAACCTCTTTTGAAATAGAAAGATTCTTTTGTTTTACAGCTCATTAAAAACTGAGCTCAAGATATGAAGATTAGACTTTAATAAAAAGGCAAAGTAACTTCAGATGATGTCTGAGCTATTAAACACTTGCAGGTGGAAGTTATTTAACCTACAGTGATCAAATGGCGACTGAATGACACGGTTCACAGATGAAGGTCGAAGGAGGACTCATACCTTCTCTTCCCTGTCAAGACTGAGTTCAGGTATTTCTTGACGGCCATCTGTTTGCGGAAGCGGCTGTAGTTGTCTGTAAAGATGGCATCTGAGTGACGCTTGACTGGCTCCTCCATCAGCTCGTCACTGCACAGAGGAGAGATCACGACGAATAAAGAGAAGAATGAAGGTATGAGTGTCACCGCAGGTCAGAGGGCAGCAGGCTTCAGTACAAAGTCAGTGCACATCAGGATCTGATTCAATGAGTGTGTGTGTGTGTGTGTGTGTGTGTGTCCCTCCTGGCTGTATAAAAAAAAACACGTAATGACGCATTAATGGCATAAATTAACCTTTAAAAATGTTTAGTCGATTACAAAATGCATCATCAAGCCGGTCGGGTCCTTTCATTGTAAATGTCAAAGTTTTCCCTCATCGTATAGTCGAAGGTTAAGGACAGAGGATGTCCCTGCACCCGTACATTATCAAACCCTATGAGGCAAATTGGAATTTGTGAATATGGGCTCTACTAAAAAAATTGATTGATTAACTGATAAATTAGAAAAACCCAAGTCTTTTAAAGAATAGGTGTCGCACAATAAAGTTTGCTCCTTCGTGCAGCGAAACCAGACATTCAAAATAAATACTGACTGACTTCTGCATCTGTTTACATTTAATCTCGTCTTATTTTCTACTTTAACCTCTTCATGTTGTCCACAACAATGACATTACCTCATATTTATCACTGTGGGTATACTTTTATAAATAATTGTGCATTTTGTTCCTATAACAGTCAAAGTCAAATTCTTCATGAATTCAGCTTGTGCATGATTAACTTCATCGTTCTTTAAAGGATGAGGCTGAACTTAGCTTCATTATATTTTCTAAACTATATTTGAAAGACTTTGGCCTCTAAATTTCCTTCTACTCAGGTCAAACAGTTAATGAAGCTCAGACCTGGAATTTGATGAGATCTAGACAGAGAAAATTGTCTTTTGGTGGTTTTCCAAACACGAAAACCTAAAAATTGATTCACTTGTGACTTAAAAATCAGATTTAACGATTAAAGGCAAAAAACAGCAAGAAAATAAATGACCACAACTCGAGGTTTTCCCTTTTACGTGCGATTCCAAAGCTTAATCGAGCCTCGTCCCCTGCCTGCCTGTATCTCTCTCCGCCCTCCAGAGCTCTGCGGACGGGGAAGGTCACCTACCTGACCCGCTTTCCTATCAGAGACTCCAGGTACCTCCGCGCTGAGAGCTGCCCCAGGAGTTTGCTGTATCCGCTGGTGAACAGACCGTCTGCGTGCCTCGTCGGTCTGCACAGGACAGTACAGCGTAAAATCAACACATGCTTCATCATGAACCGGAGCAAGAGTCAAATCCATCCACAGGTCTAATTGAAAATGATTTTTCTCTGTGGGTTTAGTGTAGAAAGAACACAGGTTTCCCCTCACCTCATGGATGTGTATGGCAGACTCAGAGTCCGGGAGTACAACACACTGCATAGGGCTATTAAGAGAAGCAGCTGGGGGCCGGTCCGTTGTAACATCGCTTTACACCTGAGGGTGGAAACGTTCACTGGTTATTCTGCCTCCAACCTGAACACGACGAGCACTCCAGGTCATTTCAATGAAAGGACAGGAGATCTATCATCTCCTCACTAACTCTGTACGTCTTATCCATTATCTTACATTCTGCGTAACAGTCAGGTCGTAACCAACTGGTGATTTGCTATGTAGGAAAAAAGTAGAGTAGTTTAGTCACAAGAAGCCGTTTGGAAATAGATTCAAACTCCCTCGGTGAATCTGATGTTTAAACGAAGAAAGAATCCAATGCGTAATTACGCACGGCTCGGGCACGGTCCCGGACTTGATATTCTATTACACGTCGTCGATACTGCAGCTCCGTTGGCAAATTTTTAAACTGGGCGAGCATTAAAGGTGTTCCACTAGAACTGTGAATAAATTAAGTTGTGGTATTGTTCGTTTTCCCAGAATTAGTTCTATGATTTATCGTGGTTACTTGTCGCTCGAAGGAAACAAAACCGATTAGCCACTAAGAACGTTTAGAACATTGATCTCTGGCAAACCTCTCGATTTACTGTGCATTCTGACATAGAAAAGAAAAATACCAATGCGTAATTACGCAGAGCGCGGAGAGTATGATTGGACATCTCCCGTGGAGACTGCTGCCAAAGACAAAACATCCAAAGTGGATATGTAGAAATTGCTGCTTAAATTAAAACGACAATTTATTCGATATTTAAACTCAGCAACATTTGTTTGAACAGTCTCATCCAATACCTGTCTGGAGCGCGTAAACAGAACAAAACATCCAAGTTCTTATCGACCAAAAACGGAGATCACGTGGACGCACTGTCTAAATAAAGTCTTTAAAAAATAGCTTCTGTGTAAAAAAATGAAATCTTACATGTGCTCTGGAGAAAGTTGTCTGCGTTTGTCTCTTCCTCCAAAGTCCTGATCTCACTGTATGTCCACTGTGATGATCCGGTGTTTCCTGACTGTCTCCTTCTGCTCGCTCTTTAGCTCCGCTCCTGTTTTATACACCTGGATGTTTCTCACTGAGCAGGAGGGGACATCATTCAATCAGGGGCTTGAGACGTCAGTAGGTCGCTGCCTTCGTCATTAGACTCGCACACAGTCGGAACCAAACAGACCTATGGTGAAATTAGTGGGGAGTGTTTTTTTCGTTTTCTTCCAATTAATCGTTGGAATAATACATTTATATCCAGGGTTGACTCATCTGATCATTTCTCCTTGGCTCCTATCACATCAAGGGTCAGCTGCAGGGAGGATGTGGGCAACTGGAAATTGGACAGGAAACATATATGGAAATGATCCGAGGAGTGTGAGTTGAACTCAAAGTTTTCTGCAGATCTGTTACACGAGATAGACGAAGAAAAGAAAAGGAGAAGATGGTGCAGGGCCAAAACTTAAATCATGTAAAAGTACATTCAATAATATCAAAGAGATTCCAGAAATAATAGATCCATAATAAAGATGCAGTACATATCCATATACCTTCTGTGTACAGGGGCCTTTGGGGTAGAGGTGATAAACTTTGAACAAGCTTTTATTGTACTACGGAGAAATCCATTGAGTGTTAAAAAGGTCCAGATTTACCTCGTGATATTTTCTTGTTGTCAGATTGTTTTTGTTTTTTAAGTTTCTGGGATGTTAAATATGAAATGCGCAATAAGAACTTGCTCTAACGCTGTCATACAAAACTATAACTTTTGATGTGTTATATGCACTTTTTATTGACCTTGAGTTTTCAAACACGTTGCAAATACAGTACGTGGTATAATGTTGTTTTTTAAAACAGGATATTTGTGCAACATTTTTGAAAGACAGGTTAGAGGGTACTTGAGGCCACAGTTTGAATGGCCCTGCATGGTTATTGGTATAAAAATACATTTGTGTGCAATGTATTGGACTGAAATATATATATATATGTATATATACTTAAAAGCTTAATTTTATGCTTTAAACATTTCCTTTTATATCTCATGCATTGTCATGCGATGACAAATTCTTAATTCCCTTGACAATCTTATCAAAATCCTGCTGCTGCCTTTTCCGCCCATTTGTTTGCCCCCACATGTGAGATTTAAACATATTGATCCTGCAGGTTCAAGAAACACAATAACATTATATTTAGAAGGTGTTGGCACGGTTTTATATTTCAGGTTGTGTTGGGCTTTTATAAAAGAACACCACGCAGGACTGAAGTGTCTCCCAATCCACCCACAGTGTCCCTGATGAGGTGATTTTCTCTGCCAGCACAGCACATGAATTAGCTGTGATGTCGGCCGGTACTCGATCCATCTATTCATTCATCCATTCATCCATCAATCCATTCATTCATCCATCCATCCATCCATCCATCCGCCTGCAGAGCTGCAATAGGTTGAACACAAACAATAGTTGTATTCTTTACACCAATAAAACATTGATTGTAAGAGGTTTCAATCGATGTTTTATTGATATATTTATACATCGACGGAGAATATTTTGTGGAGAGTTAATCCTGGAACCTAAATAACATTCATATTCAACAAGAGTTTCCTATTCACCACAAACCTTTGACGTGGGACCAGCTTTTTGTGGCACCTGAAAGTTTCTCTGATTTACATTTGCCTGAAACAAATCAACACTAAATTACAAATTACAAACAAACTCAGAGTGCAGGTGTTGCAAGTCTGGAAGAAGGATCCCTGCTCTGTTGCTCTTCTTCGGCTGAATAAATTATGGTGGCTGTCATGTGTTGTACAGATTGGTAAACTCCCTGAGATCAATTTCGGATTTGTGAAAACGGACTTTTGTTCCTGTGAGGACATCTGAGTGTCTCTGTACCAGCACCTGCTCACTGTGGAACACATGGGCCTTTAAACAGAAAATGTATGAAGTCAGTTCATCATCAACTCCATGATTGAAGAATATATAGAATATAAAATAGAATAGTATAAAGTATGTACTGGTAATATATCAGATGACTGTGATGGCAATGATGAACCAACTCTGCAGCTATCTTAACGACACAGGTCTATCGGCTCATTGTTTTGATTTTACGTTTACATCTGTACTGTTTTGGTTCAGTCTCAACTCATTAACCCTGTTTTTAGCAGCAGCGCACAAACATTTTCAGCCCTGATAAACTCATTGTTCACTTCCTGTCAGACACAATCAGGAGCGAGCATGTGATGAACACAGCCGAGCATCCAGCAGCTAAAGAGCCAACTATAGTTTTCAGGAGGAGGTGGAGAACAAAACAGAGTTAAAAAGATTAGGATTCATCAGATTGACAGAAACATGACATTCAATTAGTAATGATGTAACTCTGCGTCTGCTCAATATTTTTGCTGACACCTCAATACATTAGTAGCATTGTGTTTCAGCCAGTGCTCCCACCCGTGACCCCTCCAGCAGCCAAAGCTTCAAAAAGGACTGAGGCAGATTATCAAGACCCGAGACGTACCTCTGCTGTTAGCTACACTGTCTTGAAGAAATAATGATCATATGTCACTGAATCGTTTCCATTAATAAGTTCTGGTAATCACAGTAAAATGCAACTCGTAAATGATTCAGTCGTATTACACAAGTACAAATATTCTGGGGCGATGTCATTTGACATGTAGTTCTGACTCTTGGTCAGGGTCAGTTTACTCAAATCAAAACTGGTTTTTTTTGGTTTAAAGAAAAAACTTGTATGACATATTTTGAAAAATTCTAAATCATTGTGACATAAATGAGGAAACCGATGTGTGAGCAAACATTTTCTGTAAAAGTTATGATGCATTGTTGCGTAGCTGATGATGATGGGCCAGAATTTTATTTGACCTCTGCATCATGACAACAATGTCTCTGGTCTTCGTGGGTCATTGAAATCTCCTCCCAGTCAGCAGATCACCCCCCTCTCCTCCTCTCTCCTCCTCACCTCTCATCCCTTCTCCTCCTCCTCCTCCTCCTCCTCCGACCTCTACTCAACCATGATGGCACCATTGGAACCTTAATGTGATCAGTCCAGAGAGAAAGTGGATTACGCAGAAGTCCATGGGAGAAGGAGCTGGTCTAATTGACAGCAGTGATTGGAGACAGATCCCTGCAGGAAGAGGAAGCTGATGGAGGAAACATCAGCGTTATTATGTTGATGTTGATGGAATGTATGAAAGAGGAAAAAAAAGTTCCAATGGACAAATAACAGACCGACTCGCCTCTGTTCACCACAGAGAACCGAAGATGACAAGAATATAACGTCTTCTATTTTCTTATCAGCACACTGAATAGTACAAACTATTACTGTTACCACTATCACTACTTCTAATGTCACATCCACTTCTCGATGAAGCATCATACGTGACTTTAGTGGAATCATCTAATCTGTCTTCATTGATTAATGTAAATATTTAAGTTTCATTCACTTCAGTTTACAATTTAAAATGTCTGGTTTTTTATTCTCAGATAATTTCAGAGCTTGTAAACTTCAGCTCTTCAATGCACTGAATGAAACATGTACATGAAGGTTTCTGTATATATCATATTATTAAACATGCATTTGTCTGGGAGTTAAAATTGTATTTTTGTAGCCTATATGTTGGGAATTGCTTTTCTTAATCACATATCATAAGCCATGGTTGTTTCTTTTTATAACAAGGACATTTTATAATATTATATTATCAGTACTCCTGCTGTACTCACTACTTTTAGCCTACAAGTTATAATAATAAATGATGTGTTGAAAATTAGTGGTGGAATGTAGTTTCAGGTCCAAATGGAGGATGTCTTCATAATCACGACTCTCCCACCAGACTGTGTGACGAGGGGAATCCCCTGGCTCGCTGAGTGCCTCCTCTGTGCCACATTATCCAATTAGCAAACCACAGAGTGACGACTCTGATGGCAGATTACTGCTGGCAGCCGGACCACACTCACCGAGCTCTCTCTGTCTGTCTCTCCCTCTTATGAGAGCACAGGTGGAGTGATGGATGAAGACCCTGAGATAAGATAGAAATAAATGACGATAGAAGAAGTGTGAAGTAAAGATTGTATCTCAGAAGCAAAGATACGACACGAGTGTGACCAAGAGAAAGGGATGAAAGAAAAAAAATGATGTGGTTGTTCAACATTAAATTAGAAAGTTTTCAAGTAGGTTTGGTCACAGAACATAAAGAATAAAGAACATAAAGCTGTATAATTGTTTCATTCATTTCTTTGTTTGAGGGACTGCAAAATATGAGAACTGTCAAATCATCAGCAAAAAGGAGCTTTTACAATCAGAGAGTGTAAAAGTTAAGAATTTTATTTCATCTATTGTTTCTGACAGAATTTGATAAAATCATATAAGATCCTCCTTCCATGCAGTTTAATGTTATTAAGGGGTCATTTCTTGTACGTTATGTTGTACGTCTGTTTGGTTAAACGGAAGAAGGCGACTTGCTCTCGTTGGCTGAACTAAACTTGCTTGATGTCTCTTTAATAGAACAGTTACCAGTCTTCTATAGCTAAGATAAGGGTTTTACCTGCCATAAATATGAGCCATAAACGCAGTATTTTAGTAAAAGCTCAAAATGTGACTCTTCCTACATCTGGACCTTAGCTGTAGAGAGAACATACCACAACTAAAGGTGCTATTTTACTCACAGAAAGTTTTTCATTTTGATCTGGATCAATAAACCATCACTGGATTCATGAAGAAACTTTAGCTCATGTGAGGAAATGAAATTTTTTTCTTTTAAAGTTCTAATTTTCAAATAAAACAACTGAAACAAATAAAGAAGAAAGAAAGACATCGCAGGAGATCTAGAGGAACTGTGGCACAAAACAGCAATAAATCATCATGAATTTTTAAATGCAACACTCTCTTGCCTTACCTCTCCAAGGCTGAAACATGTAAATACTTTCTACTGTGTGTGCATATTTTATATACAGTATAAAGGCTGATATACTGGATCTACTGGAAAAAATAAAGTTTTGTGAGTGAGGTTTACTCTAACAATAGAAATAATAGACAAT